CCGTGAATGATGGTGTGTGCACGTCGCAAACAATGCGAGAAAAATACAATCAATGTTACTATACTATAATACTGCAAAGAAGCAAAGAATACTGTCTGATTGTGGAGTGTGACGCACATGGAATCTCTCTGTGTATATTTTTTCTTCTTCTACTTCTTCTTTTTATTTTGTGTCGTTGTACTTTTTCGCTCTTGCTTTCTCTAGTTTCCGACACTCTTGTCGGCTGTTCACACGCGCTTCAGATTCTAAGTCGAATACAGTTTTAATTTTCGTACGCGCAGCGAGGTAAATAGCTCATTCATTATTCGGCGGGTAATTCTCTCTTCTAATTATAATTGAAAAGAGGAATAGAACAACATCAAAAGCAGCAGCAACAGCAGCCAAACACAATTAAAGTGTGATGAATATTGGAATTTATTGCGAGATTAAATTTTGCAAAACTAGAAATTTATTCTATCACTAGTTAATTTGCTAGTTTTTTCTACATAAATTACGATCGATATTACGTGAACAATCGTTAGAATAGAATTTAAAAAACGACTTTCAAATTATATCTATTCTCATAATGTATTCATTTTCAAACTACAGTGGGCGCTCGTAAGCTAGAAATTGTTGGTTTTTCAACTCACTAAATTTCGGGACATTCCGATTTCCCAACCCGTTTTTGTACGCGAAAATTTCATTCTTCCTTGAAAAATAGAGACATTGAATCATCAAAAAACCATAATTTCATGCGCAAATAAATTTACCCGAACAATAAAATGCCCATAATGCCATTTGCTGCGTACTTTCAAATAAAATAATTCACTGTTGCGTTCAAACTTTTTATCGAAATGGATTCGATAGAAAATGAGCAAAGTTTGCATCATGATTTTAAATTTTGAACTTTATCTGCAGTATACACATTGTTTTCGACAGTCAACCATTGAATATTTGTCCCATTCCACAGTTAGGTGATGAAATGTCATAACTAAGTTAATATTTACAAACTTCCTTGAACACATTGATACGTGTTTGTATGTTAACGGCTCAACAATTTACCACTTGATTCGGTTCCACTTTTCGTTCCGATACAAAAACCCTTATCGAATGAATAACGCTGCGATATGTTTCTGGCATCCGATCAAATCACTTTGCACCAGATTTGCCGCAAAAATATATCCACTTAGGTCAAGCCAATATATTAGCCACATTTGGGCAATAGTAATATCACTGGAATATCCCATTTTCTATTAATAGAACGCATTGAATGCAAGCCTCAATGAATTATTATTGACTAGAATCAATACATACATATTTTAGAATGACGACAAACATGTATAATAAATTCAAAATTTTGAATGCGCCAAATATGTGTTTTCGTTGGAATTTCGACCAATGGTCCACTTTAAATAAGTACGGCTGACAATTTTAATTAAATTAGTCGCAACATTTTTAATCAAAGTGGTTTCATTCAAGATCGTTATGCTTGCAACATTCGCGTCCAAAAAATATATGCGTTATCAGCATTATTTGAAATGTGTTTTCAAGGAAACGATACTAAATTTGAACGAAAACTTAAAAGTTCAGATAATTAAATGTGTGTTAGCGTTATCTCACAAACACATACAAAAACCATTTATTTCAAACAAGCTGTCAATAGACTTTTCCCGCAGTTGAGCCTACCGATTTGTTCCAAGTGAATAGTCAATGAAATGAGAATTTATAAAATATACTGTCCCAGACAGTATTCAATATATTTTTGATTTCCATTTTCACTTGCGTAAGACAGCCCACGCTGCAGATTATTTGTATAGTGATTCTTCGGCTGGGTAGGAAAAAAGGCAATAAAAAGTTGTCAAAATCATTTATAAAAACTGATGAAGTAATATTTCATTGAGAACAAAACATTCTAATATTTCCACTGTGCAACCAGTTACGAGTTCATTTGAGACTAAAGTTGTAATCTACTCTTCGATTATTAGTCGGTATGAGACAGTGTGTGTTTCAATATAGAGATTTTTCCCCATACACAGCGAACGTTTCAAATCTTACTAATACGAAAATATTATCCATCGTAAAGTGACATGTCAATTCATATTCTTTCCATTTTGCCGTTTCTCTCTGCCATCACCCCATGTTCCGTGCATCAAGTGCCACAACGGACGGAACAGTTCTTCATTCACCATGGAAACGCGATAAAATTTGTTGATGAGAAATTAATGTCTATTTTTGTAAGTGAATATCTAATACAACGACATCAATAAATTGAGCTGATTTGCACCGTTGATATTTTCGCTTTATAATTGGTCGTGCGCAACACACACACATACACACGCACACATACATAGACACACCGTCGTATCTTCGCGATTATTCCAGGATTTCAATGCGGCTATGAATAAACATGGCCTACCGAACACAACGCTATGACAGAGAGCTACAAACACATATCTGTTCACACATGAACAGATTTCAAAATTATACATACATTTTCCAAACGTACAAACCCCCATTTATAAATCACATTCATTGATCTTAACACGGCAATTTCCAACCATATTTTCTGGCACAAAATATTCATTTCATGATGATTCAAGCAAATCGATGATATAATAATTAATTTGACAGAACATTCCTGTTGAATGGACACTTCGTTTGTTTTACAATTAGCATTGAGTCAGAGTGTGTTTTCGATTCAATAGAATTGAGAATATGTCGTCAAAATACTTCAATATGATTGGTGTATCATCGCATCCATGTTATTTCCATTGAATCAGAAATTGATTCTATAGAGATCGAATACACGTAGAAAGGGCGAATTATAATCCACATTAACACTGAAAATGTAAATACACCGATACACGTTATGACGTCACTCAATCATATATGTAGTGCTCGTGTCCAGAATAGATGATATTATTTTTATTTTTTATCTTCTTGTTCTTTTCGATAACGTGAACAGAAACGAATCGTTGTCTTGATCACAGCTAGAATAACAACAAGTAAATACGTGCCGCTCTAATCGAAAATATCATTTCGACTTTATCACTTGTCCAAATATTTTTTTTTCGCTTTCAATGATAACAAAGCCGATCCAAATGCAGTAACGTAAATTACAAATATCGCTTATGTATTCTGTGGAGCTGTTCAGCAATGATATAAAATATGAAAACTTTGCCAAAACATAAAGAAATCTGTAGAAGAGGTAGAAACTTTAACAAAAATTGTTTGAAACTAAAAAGATAAGGTCAAGTTTATTCTGAAATCAATTTTCATTAGCATTTTTATTAAATAAAAAAAATCAATTTTCAGAAAATCATTAAAATACAATTCGTTATACACTTCAAACGAGTCGACATAGCTAGAACGGAGTGCAATCAAAAGTGATAATTTTTACAATATCACCAAAGAATATACACTTTCCCTATATTAAGCCAAATTCACATTCTCTCGTGTGCAAAAATGTGTCTAAATGATGTGTATAAATCCAAATTCAATGGAATTCGATTCAATTCGATATATCGTTTCTAATGAAATATTGCTTGTGCCTTCACATTTCCTAGGTAATGCTCGATATTTATTTGATGTGTTACTTGTCGGCACGATTCACACAGGAAGCAAATGTTTCTAATTCGGCCAAGATCACAAAATTCAATGAGCCAACAACATTCAGTACGTTGAGTGTGTGTGTGTGTGTGTGTGTGTGTGTGTGTGTGTGTGTGTACATGTATCGTTATTGTTCTCCAAGTGAGTTTAATACTAGTTGATGTTGTTTTTGTTTTACATTTCAAGACGTGCACACGTTCTGCTTCCGAAACTAGCAGTGGGAGAAAGTAAAAACAGCAGAAACGCAGAATAATCGGCGACACGTCATCGCTTGATTTAAAATTCAAGCGAAAATTTCGCTGTAGTCAATTTCACATTTTCTGCCAGCTAAATAAATGGCAGCATTTTTCCTCTTCAAGCGCTTTGCGTTATTGTAATAATTCTGTACATTGTTAGGCAGTGTGCTGTGCTGTACTGTGCTATGCAATATATACATTGTCATTTTTCGTTGGATATTCGTTTCGTTTCGCACATTTGCCCGTAGTAAGGTTACACTTGCAAATAGAAACGACAACGACAGCACCAACACGAAATACAGCAAACGAAACCGAAAAATTCATTTCTGTGCAATAAAAAGATGAATGTGTAGAGACCAGTAAAGACTAAATAATATGAAAATTTGTTTTCAAATGTGAGGAGTGCGAAATGAGTAAATAAATATAAGTCTATATATGTTTTATAATGCAAAGAAACCAACAGAGACAATGTAAACAATGCGGTACTGTTTCTCTTTCTGTTTCGATTTCAATTTTCAGCTCAAAATATATTCCGTTCGTTCATTTCAGTTCTCGTTTTTTTTTTTCTTCTCTTCCTTCTGCTTTGTTCTTTCGCCTCTTTCGCCTTTTAATTTTATTGTTGTGTTTATTTCAACGAATTTCACCACCAAACATTGTTATCTAAGTTGAAGCTGTTGGACAGTGTGCTTTTTGCTCCTTCTGTTTCGTTTTTGCTTCTCGTTTCTCGTTTCTCATTTTACATGAACACTGTATTCGCTATGACAGTGTATTTTTCAAGAGGAATTCAGAACTGCATGTTGCGTCAAAATTTGTCGACCATGAATTTGGAGAGCGTTGAAAATTTCAAAAGTCATAACAACAAAAAGAGTTATTAATCACGACGGCTCAAATAAGGCTCTGGGCTGTAGTCATTTTTTCCCCAAATGGGACGACGACACCAATCTGTTAGTGACATCACTACCAACTGAAACACGGATTCTCGTCTAATTTTTGTTGTTGTATGATTCAAATTGTTTTACTCATGAAAACGCAACAGACTTTTCCAATTGCATTTTCATTCGAGCACATATTTCTGTTTATAGTTCATAGTGATAATTGGTGTGATTGCCATCAGTTTACTATATTAGCTAATTCGATGTTTTTTTTCTCTCTTTTTTATTTATAACCAATTTATAGATGCAGCTATCAGTCGACAACAACAAATGAAGAAAGCAAGCGACGGAAAGAAGTCAATGGACGATCATGATGAATCAAATGTAGCATCAGGCAGTGGAACAACGTCAAAAGCCGCATCAAAGGAGGAAGATGACGTGTATGAATTTAAGACGACGCCCAAAGATTCGTCGTCCAGTTCAGGCGATGATAAGTCAGATGGTGGAAAGGGATCCGATAAGTCGTCGGATGAAAAGAGTGATGAACAAGGAACGAAGCGCTCATACTCGGACATCGAGGGTGATGTTGATGATGAAGTTAAGCGAAAAAAGCGAAACACAGAAGGAACGTCAAAAGATTTAAATAAAACAGTATCAAATCGGCCAACGTCCCAGCGTCAAGAGAAGAATTCCAAATTCCATGGTGCAGCTGCCAAAAATTCCAATTTAACAAGTAAAAATGTGTCGACACTTGATCGAAAAAGCCCGTGTACAAGTCCAAAGCCAACTTCAACGAAAACCGATAGTGACGTTGAAATGGATGATAAAAACCTCGGATCAGACTCATTTGGCGCTGCTGGTCCCAAAGTACCACCATTGAAGATCGTTATACCACAGCAAACGTCAAACCCTGACCAGGAAATGGGAACTCGAAACGGAAAAAATATTTCAACGAGGAATAATGCGGCATTGCCATACGTTGTGGCGTCATCATCGAATAGCAATGATTCGGCTGACAAAGAAAGCGCTTCGTCACGATGTACCAGTCCATCGGATTCAACAAAAAGTGTGGATGAGAAGAAAACCGGCACCACAATGACCAACGAAGATCAAAAACAACAGCGAGTTTTACGAAGTTCAAATAGAGGCGGCTCTTCCGTTGATCGAGGCTCGAACAACTCATCACCTCAATTGCAGAGCAGCTCACCGTCACCGGCTCCGGTTACGCAAACGAGTACAACAACGACTGCCACATCAACCAATACAACATCGTCTGTGACAGCACGTGTTGAATCAACGAAACCAGCAACGCCCGCCTCCAGTTCAACGGTCGATAGTTGCCCAACCACATCGAACATGAACACAACTAGCCCAAGCAATCCATTAAATACAGAGACCGAACAAACAAATGCACCCAGTCCATCAGCATCATCGACGTCTTCAACTAAAGAGAGTTCACAAAATACAGCCGATTTGCATCCGCGAAAGCGAAAAATACGTGCTAGTAAAGATGAAAACAAACAGGTATGTCTCACCACTTTCAATGCTAGTTCTATCATATTTCGAATTTTGCATTCCAATGATGACATTTTTATTTCTGCATTCCTTTGATTTCAGATTGTTCCGAATACGAATTCATCATCATCTTCGTCCTCGTCCTCATCAACAACTCAATCGAATACAAACAATAACGATCCAAATGAAAGTACTACCAATACGGAAGTGCCACATCCACATGATCAACCCATCACCAATTGCTATCAAATGTACTTAAATATCCGAAAACAAATCGAGCGACGACAGCGAAATCTCTTTCCCGTCCAACCGAAACCACCACAAGGTTTCAAGGACTATTTGCTGAACCGTCGCACGTATGTGCTGGCTGGCAAAACAACAATGGAATCAAATACTGGATTCCCGATGAATCTATCACCACAGCTACGCGATTTATTTATGCAACAAGAAAAGGAAAGACATAAACTTAAAATGCAACACGTTGTGGAAAAGGAGAAGCTGGTTCTTTCGGTTGAACAAGAAATTTTACGGGTCCACGGTAGAGCTGCTCGCGCATTGGCCAATCAGTCTCTACCATTCTCAGCATGCACAATCCTTAAAGATGAAGAAGTTTATAACATAATCACTCCAGAGCAAGAGGAAAAAGACCGCAATGCTCGCTCAAGATACAATGGAAGGCTGTTCTTAAGTTGGCTACAAGACGTCGACGACAAATGGGAGAAAATTAAGGTAATTATCATATCATATCATAAGAATAATTGTTTTCTTTTATCATCGTCGCACGTTTTCTTTATTGCAAAACAAACGTTTAACCAATTCTTTCCTTTTTATTGCGATTTGTGTACAGGAAGCCATGGTATTACGTTGCCAAAATGAAGCAGAAAGTTTACACGCTGTACAAAAAATGGAATGGGAATGGAAAATGAAAGAGCTGATGCTGTGCGAGTACAAAGCACAACCCGTTATTGATGAAATTCATGTACCTATGGTTCATGTCAGTGACGATTTCGACCTACTTCCATAAACCATAAATGTATCGTTAATTTTGAACAGCATGTGATTTTATCTACGTTAAGAAATAATGTCAATTTTTTTATGAATAATGAACAAAGTAATGTATAACAAACGTAACTTATTGTTACAAATGTTGAAGTCCTAATGAATCGAATGAAAAAAAATCAATGCATATTTATGTACACGATGTGTACAATTTTTGACACTTGGCAAACTTGTATGTAGTTTTAAGAAAATAAAAAAAAACTCGTTATCAAATGTGTTTTTAGTATTTTTATTCTAATAGCTAAAAATAATTCCAATAATTCTGTTGCTTTATCTGGTCGGCCTAGTCTCCAATTTTGAATGTTTTTTCATTGGCCTTTGCGTTGACTTGTTTCAAGATCGTTTTCAAAGCTGTTCCTGGACCGCACACAAATGTGTCTGGAAATTGGTTGTTTATTTTGAGTTCGTACAAAACGTGTAATGTTTGTTCCCACTTCACCGGTCGCACAATTTGCGTAGGCAACTGTTTTAGAATGTGTGATTTGCTCTCATATCGTCTAGCAGTTGTATTTGAATAAACGCTAATAATTGGATCCTCAACATTCATTTTTTTCAACGCCTTAGCAAATGGTTCAACAGCTGACTCCATGAGAGCCGAGTGGAAGGCTCCATACGCAGGGATTCGTTTCATTTTATCCAAATTATATGTTTTCAAATTCTGACTGATATATCGTAGTGCCTCTTCACTACCTGATATTACCTTGCATTGTGGAAACAAATGATTTGCAATAACACAGTCCGGATTTTCGACGCCCGCATCAAAACACCATTCTCTTGCCTTTTCACATGCTAAACTGAGCTGTAAACTTTTGTCACTTTTATATAAAATGGTTGCCATCCCACCCTTATTCTTATCACTAGCCAGCTGCATTTCTTCCGCACGAACACGAACTAATTCAATGGCTACAATCCAGAATTTGAATAATTTTATATGGTTGTTTAGATCTCTGGCAAAAACAAAAATTGACAAACCTTGATCATAAGGTAAGGCACCAGCAAATACTAAGGATGTTATTTCACCCAAACTAAATCCAGCCGTTCCAATGCAACTTTCAATGGCATCCGGTCGATGTTTTTTCAGTAGCTCAAGACAGGCCAAAGAGGTAACCATTATTGCTGGCTGACAGTAAACGGTTTTATTCAACTTTTGTTCTGGACCTTCATTACACAGCTTCAGCAGATCATATCTGTAAATAGTGAAAAAAAAAGTATTGAATTTCTGTAATCTTTGCAATTTATTCTACAGACAAATTGTCGTCGATACAACCTAAGAATTGTGCTGGCAATGTCAAACAAGTCTCTGGCTTCAGGAATGTCAACGAGTGATTTGGCCATTCCAACGAACTGTGCACCTTGTCCGGGAAATAAGACTATTGTTGGATTATCCGGACATTCATCTGGACGCGAACTTGCTCGTTTTAATCCTTGACTTTGCCGCAAAAAACGTCGTCGATTTTCACTATTCTCTGTGTCATTTTTGGTGCTGCTGAAAAATCTCCGTGACTCACATAGCAATTTTACTTTGTGGAATACCTCTGTGTAGATTTGCCTTTGCATCATTTTATCGCCGAGCCAAAAACGAAATTATGACAGTGTTATGTTTATAAATTTATTTCAAATTGCTTGCGGTAACCTGTCAAAAGACACGTGTGTTTGGAATAGTGACAGATTTCAAACAGTGGATTGTTCATTGTCGGTAAAGTAGTATCAAAACACATAATTTAAAAGTCGACAAAAAGAAGTTTTATTTATTCATTCATTTACGTTTTCTATCACCAATGTGAATGGATTGTTGCCAAGCTTTTGAATTGATTGATCTCAAGATGCTTCTAAGCGCAACACCTGGACCACAAACTATTGTCCGTGGAAAATATTCTTTATGTCTTCGAGCATATAGCATGTGCATAGTTTGCTCCCATTTCACCGGTTTAACTAATTGTTCCGGCAATAGCTTCAAAATGTGTTCTGCACTCATGTACATTTTGCCACTTACATTGGAATACACTCGAATAAGTGGATCTGTTACGTGAATGTGCTCAAGCGCGCTTCGTACAGGTTCAACGGCTGGTTCCATCAAAATTGAGTGACAGGCCGGTGCATTTTTAATTCGCTTTATCGAACCGATTCGGAATTTTTTGAAATTTTCTTCAAGATATTGAAGTGCTTCTTCACTGCCAGATAGCACTTTATATCGTGGAAACATGAAATTCGATATCAAACATTCCGCTCTTTCAACGTTATTCTTTAAACACCATTCTTTTGCCTTCTGACAAGCCTCTATCACCCTTGAATCCGGACGGAAATAAATAGAAGCCATTCCTCCTTTGTATATTTCAGCAGCTGCATGAATTGCTTCAGCGCGAACTTGAACCAAATGTAATGCTAAATGGAATACACGTATTATTATTGAATGTGATTAAAGGTAGAGTAATTTCAACGTTTATTGTATACCATCGCCAAATTGCAGAGCGCCGGCAAATACCAGAGCAGTAATTTCACCTAGGCTAAAACCAGCGGTTGCTACACAATTCAACACGGCATCCGGCCTTTCTTCGCGAAGTAATTCCAAGTTGGCCAGTGATGCGGTCATTATAGCCACATGACTGTAACGAATATCATCCAACTCTTTGGCTGGTCCTTTGTTACATAGTTTTAACAAATCATAGCTGAAATTTGGAAGGAATCTCTTAGAATAAATCTAATAAACTGATTAGGATAGAGAAATTACTTGAGGATTTCGCTGGCATAATCAAATAGATCTTTAGCAACAGGTACATTCTCTAACGATTTTGCCATACCAACAAATTGAGCACCTTGGCCCGGAAACAGAATGATGGATGTATCCCGTGGATCAATCTTCGGTCGTTGAATGTCCATGTCGTTTCTGTCTTTTTTCGAGAGTATTGTCCCCTCGACATAGGGCAATGTCGCCCATTCATCTAAACTTTGTTTTGGGCTCGTCTCAACAAAAGCTGCCGAACTCTCTAGCAAGTTCTTTATCGTTTGTTTATTATTTTGTACAGAATTGTCTTCAATTTTATTTGTAACGAAAGCCGATCGATGGAAGTCACGACTTTTCAATTTGATACCTCTATTCAAACAATAACTTTTTGGCCTCGAAAGGCTTCCGCGAAAAATATTTGGTATCATTTTTGAATTATCAACCTAAATATTTTAACATATTGAACAAATCAACTAATCAGGCAATGGATATTCACGTCAAAGTTGGAGCAAACACATGCCATGAGTAGTTGTCAACTGTCACGTATCGGTAAAATGACAGTTCGATAATACAGACGAAAGAAATATTAACATCATACGGTATTTTCATGTTTTAAAAACTTTGTGTGTTTCAATAGATATAAAAATGGATAGTTCAAATGTTATGATGGAAGATAGTGTGGACGAATCATCAGAAAACGCAAACCAACCAACTGACGACGAATACGACAGTGATAACGAAGATTTTTATTTTGAATCGGATCACTTGGCATTGCGGGGAAATGCGGATTACCGTGCGGCTTTAAGAACAATAGTCATTTTGGAGGCTCAACGAATCGAGGCAGCGAAACACATTGACAGAATTGCCCAAGCACATAGAAGAGCGTTAGAGGACCCAGAAGAGTTTTTGAAAAAGTTGATATCAAAAGAAGGTCTGGACTTACCAGCACCAATAACAATACAAAATGTAAGCAAATCTTGAAGTTAACTCATGCGACCGTCTTCATTTATTTCGGTGTTTATATTTCAGGTTCCAAAAATCAAGTTTGAAAAATATAATATACCGAGTCCCGTCAATGTACCATGCACATATGAACCCAAGGCTAAAGAAGAGAATGATTTCACTGTGCGTGGAAGAGTCTTTGATCAAACAAAACCAGAAACATTCAATCAGGTAGTAAACATTTTTTCCATCAAATTGCCGTTATCCAGTATTTAAGAATAATATTAACTTTTGATTCAATAGCTGTGGACGTGTGAGGAACAGCGCCGCCTGGAAGAATTGCTGGTGGAATATCCACCCGAGCCGATCGAAATGCGACGTTTTGCGAAAATAGCCAAAGCATTGGGCAATAGAACGCCGCGTCAAGTGGCAAGTCGATTACAAAAGTATTTTCAAAAACTGCATGCGGCTGGATTACCAGTGCCTGGTCGTCAGCCCAGACGCAATGCCAGAATATATAGCTCCCGGAAAAACCGAATTGCGAAGCATATGGTTCGGCCGACGACATTCTTTCCATCAAACTACGTGCCTGTGAACATAACAAATGACGATGATAACAACGCCAATTCATTTTTGGATCCTAATTATTACCGCAATGGCTGCAACGCAAATAGCATGAACGACGGAGATGTGGACAATATAATCATTGTTGATGAACCTAGTGACACTGAGGTGAACGTTAGCATGAATGATGACGCGAAAATAGCTGCCATAATAGAAAGAGTAAAAAGAGACAAAGAAAGGGAACATCCCATCGAAACATCCATTAGTGAACACAATGGATACAAAGTAATACATTTAAAAAAAAAAGGTTTATGTTTTTGGTAGTAATATTTTCCATTACTTTTATTTAGTGTGACTATTGTGACGAAGAACCCATTTCTGGCACTCGATGGCACTGTATTACATGCAAAGATCAATCTAGCGATTATTGTTCAGACTGTTTTGTTACTCAGACGCAGGATGATAAACACCATTCATTCGATCACATATTTATCGGCTATCGCATCTCATCTGACTATCACGCTGAGTCGGATGTTGAAAGCGATGACGACGATGTAGATGCCGATGCAGACGCAGATGCAGACGCAGATGCAGAAGAATATGCTGATGATACCAATGAAGAGGGGTCGCTGCTCAATAACTCACCGGGCAATGTTGGCTTTGAAGATTCCATAAAGACTTTTTTTCGATAAAGACTATTTTCAGAAAAACAGCAAATCAAACAAATTAACATTTCGTTAGTTCTATCCGTGTATGGAATTTCAAAAACCTTATATGATCAATTTAGATATAAACATAACAATTTTGGATGTTATTCAGTTGATCTTTTGAAGTCAAAACTCTAAAAATTGCTAGAAGAAATTCATATTCCATGTGATAGCCTATAATAACTTCAGTTTAATTTGTTTAATGCAAACTCTAATGTGTTTATTCATTCTAACGGCCTTATTTGGATGGTGATAAGGAATGAGCTGTGACTTGATGATCATGAAAATCTAGAAAAACAATGAAATCCAATAAAAATTATCAACATTTTCGACACTTTGAAATAAATGCTTCGATTTATTTTCTATAAAATACTGTTTCTATTTAAATTTAAAAACATATGGATATTCTATATCCAGCTTTGAATCGACTAGGAAAATATTATTTCGAGTACGATAATATATGCGCCACATTTTATGGAGCTTGTTGATTTTGTTTTTGTTTCAATATTCTATGATTCTTTTTTGTCGGAAGGAATGACTTCGAATAAAACTTGAATCAGGAATGTGAATTTATCTGCAGAAGAAAACGGAACATTTATGGATTGAATACAAGTACAAGTACAAGTATAAAGGAATCTTAATAGGCTATCATACTATTTGGTGCTTACCCATTAATTTCGGTCGATATTTATAATAGACGAAAGGCACATAAAATATCAGCCCGGATATAATGAAACCTAATGCAGCCAAATATTTAGCTGGTGGTTGTGTAAACATTGGAGTTACTGAAAGGAACACTGCTACGGCCAATGTGAGGAATGGCACAACCAATGGCACTTTATATGGTCGAGGTAAATCGGGCCGTGTTTTGCGCAAAACTAATAAGCATATAACAGCAGCACCATAAAATACCCAAATCAAAAACGAAGCAAATTCAATCAAATCATGAACATCGCCCATTAAAATGAATATCAACGAAATGAGTCCCTAAAATAGTAGAAAAATTAAATTGCGAATGAAAGAAAAAGGGAAAATTATTGTGACTTACTTGAAGAGCGACGGCAGGGCCAGGCGTCAGCTTTTCATAGTGAATATAGCTCATTGGAGCCAAAAAATGTCCTTCTCGCCCGGCAACAAAACACAATCTAGTCACACTGAATTGAATACTTAAAGCACATCCAAATGTGGCCAATGCAACACCAAGCGGAATGACGAATGCAAACGGACCAAAAACTCGTTTACCAAATTCAACGGCTACGGCTGGTGAGGTGACCATTTCATTCGGTGTCAATACAATCAAATATGAAAAGTTCATAAAGACGTATAGGGCAGTTATGATGGGCACTGAAATTAGAATCGAACGTGGAATGTTTCTGAAAGCATTCCAAATAATGGTTAATCAATTGTTCGATCATTTATGTTCTACTTGAAGCTAACACTCACATTTCTGGTCTTTTTATTTCCTCTGTAACTAATGTTACACTGACCCATCCGTCGTATGCCCATAAACCATTATAAAATGCTAATGCAATATTGCCGGCATTTGTAGTGGTTCCTTCGAAACCGGAGCTAAGGTTTTTAGTATTCCCATTGAAGAGTTCATACACTCCGCCCAAAATAACTACTATGCACGCGATCACTTTTCCAAAGCTACAAAAATTATTGATCCTTACGAACAGTTTAACACTCCGCAAATTGATGTAGGTGACAATAACTGAAAGATCATATAAATATTACAGAGTGAGAATATAAATGAATTGAGATGGGATATTTTCTTACATAATACAACAATGGCCAGCAATTTTTGAAAGTGTTGTCTATACGCTTCATCCAAATTGTCGAATCCAATATTGTGTCGAATTGGTTCAATGCTGTACGTTATGCAGATGAGAATTAGAATTGCCACTTCTGCCGGTCTGAGGACCATCACATAAACCCAGTTGCATATGAAAGCGGGCAAAGGCCCCCAAAATTTATGCAGCTTACCAAATGTTTCTAACAAATAAGCATACTCAGCACCCGATTTTGGTACTGTGAAAGTAATGAAATTTTGAAAAGGGTTCATTCTAAATTTTAATTTTGAATGCGAAAAACGTACCAACAGTTCCTAGTTCGGCAAAACACAACGCACCTAGTTTTCATAGAAAATAAATGTAATCATTTGTATAGTCGATTTAATTGGATGGAATTTAATAAGAAGAGTTTATCTACAAACCTAGGAGTGAAACTATGCCACAAACCGCCCAGACAACAAGACACAAGCCAATGCTGCCGGAATATTTCAACGCCTCTGTCGGTGATACAAAGATACCCGAACCGATCATAACACCGATGATAATATTTACAGCGGCCAAAAGGCCTATATTTTGCTTTAATCCTACATCGGATTTCTCTTCTTTGATTGCAGCTGAATTTTGAAGAGACATCAGGCGAATTGTATAAATAAATGATAAAAATAGCATCTGCTTGATTTAAAAATAAATTCACGTCGTGTGGAGCATTGACATTGAATTAAAGAGCATTGATCATTATGGTGGTCCGCTTGATTATTTGAAATATTGCCTGTTTTTCATTTAAAAAAATTGCAAAAATTCAAAGTGTATGGCATTCATTTGTTCTCTATTTGGTCAACATCCTACTGCTATCGAATTGATTTATTCCATAGTTCGGCTTTGTTTGACCTGTCACCTTCGATTTGGCTGTACTACTGAACACTGTTCAATAACATTGAATAACGTTTAAACGATGACTTGATATGACATCGGATTCTTTTGTATTGCAAATTGCGCGTTTCGACCACAAAAAATCCAAACAAAGTGGAACTGAATTGTCGGCACGTTTGTAAAATTTCATTCGCTTTGTGAGTCCTTCATCTTAACGAACGCACCGGCATACAAAAAACACACTGAATAATACTGAAAATAACTGAACAAACCATTTTGTCAACAGACTAAATCTGAATGATTGAATGAAATTGGAGAGGAAATTGCCAAATTAATGGAATCGTGGTCATTGAAGTATTTGAAAGAGTATTTTTGTATTTTCATTGTACCGCCTAACCATTACAATACTAGCTGTCCCAAAAGAAATTTGCCGCGTCTAGCGACAAAGCACAAGTCTGGTTGTAATTATGAAAATAACAATTTAGATTGACTTATTGTTTTGGAACAATTTAGATATGTATATCGTAACGGAAACTACGGAATTCTTCCAGCCAATTTATATATGCTGATTTGGAATGAGCTATTGCTTTTGAAAGAGTTTAAATTTAAATTCGCCCACAATTTCATGAATGAAGTGCATACACATTTAAACATTGACAAACTTTGGCTCAACATGTGCTCTACAGAAAATTTTGATTATTACAAACACTCCAACTTCAGAAGAAAAATGAAATAAATGCCAACATTTACTTACTCATTTCGTTGTATATACTAGAACGTAGCTAATCAATTGATATGTCTTTAATTGATAATATTTGAAGTTCGATTGGTTTCACCACTCAACTACCGTTTTCATAACAATTAACACTTGGTATTTATTGCAACAATTTTTAATTGCTATTGAAATGTATCCATATTTTCAATGTGGTATTTGTCGTGTTTTCAGCTCATGCACATTTTCTCATCACTTTGTGCAGTATAAAAAAAAATGTATTCTACCGGTGAAGAGTGTGCTACAGTTGACGATACAGAATAATCTAAGTACAAAAAAATAAAATTAAATGTAGAACATAATCTATTCCTCAAGCACAAACTATATTAGATATTAATGCAAACATTTTTTCGGCAGCACAATGTTCAGTTGACATGGTGCAGTATGTTACGCGAAAAGATATTTGTAAAAATAATAATAATAAGCCGACGGTGGTAAAGTGGCTGTCTTATTATATTTCATTTTAGACGTATGCTCCTGATAATCGTTTCAGCTGAAAAGAATTGATAAATGGGCAGGAACAGCGTTATCAGTATTACGTTTTTACTTCGATTTGATGACGTATGTGTGTCGCTTCACTTGTTCGTGTGCACGCAAAAGTATTAAATGAATTGATTCACGTTTATCCACGAATTCAAACAATTCAATGAATTTCAAACGAATTTCGATTTCAATTCATTTTTGTCGAAGGAATCCGATTTCGTCGAAACAAAAACCAAAAATTCTTCCACACTTACTTGTACTAGAAATGCATTTGAAACATTGGAATATTTCACTAACGTCTACATACAATTGTCGGTATCGATAAGACTGATAAAAAAATTTCGTCAGCACAGCCCATTTGTATTAAAATTTTAAAATAGTTTTACGCAAAAACACACTTATTTGCCTTTGGTCTATGAATTGTTTTTTGCTTTCACTGAATAATTACATTTCATCTCCCCCGTAAATATACCTAGCGGATACTTAATCGTGCTATCATTTTTGTTGCGGAGAATAGTTAGTTCAAAAAATTGAATATAAAAGTGATTGTGGTTCTGCATATCTCATTGGAATAACAAATTGTTAAGATCAATAACAAAATGAATAAATATATAAACTAATTAGTACTATTTTGTTAAACACATTCTAACTTCTGACTCTTTTTCATTGAAAAAACCAATATTGAACATTGAAATTTGAGTTGAAAAACCAATATTGAACATTGGAATTTGCATTTGAACCAGCACCTAAGAAAAGAATCATTTTCAATGGAATGGTTAAGCCCTGTAATAATTCGAACAAATCTAATTCTAATTGAATAGATACTACTTATCATCAATTTGTTGGGCTTTTTTTTTTAACCGAATATTCAAATTGCGTGGTTCATCTCAAATTCCCTTGCGTCTTCTGTAATCACATGAAACGTCTGTTTAAAATCATTTGAAGCACATTATTTATGACACAGCTACGATAAGGCTACATTGTCTGGTTCAATTTACATGAATATTTGTTTATTTGCATATTTTGTTATTCATTGTTGGCATTATAAGACAATTAGTTAATCCTACGCTTCATTTGTAGATCACAGTGCATGTTTATGTACACAATACAGACTAGAAAATTTGATTGCCTTTTGATCATGTTCGTGTGTCGAGACACTAAAAATTGGTTCATTATTTTATATTTCAATTCAAAATTTATGTCATGTATAGTTTTGCATGGGTGAAATTCTGAGTTATATCTAAATTAAATAATTCCAGATGAGATCAGAATCCGTTACGAGATTTCACACAGAACATTTTTTTGATTATAATTTTTTTTTGAATAAAATATTTTACGCTATATTTGTTTTTATCAATTTATTCATAACTATGATTAATCCACCTTGATAAATGATCGTATTTCGTAGAGCCCAATGCAGGAATCCGATGCACTATGTATGACAATGCTATCGCTGGTCGCTGTGAGAGCACATTGACTTTGGTGAATGAATTCAAGTGTGAAACTGACTATCAAATCACATGAACGGGACGCCCAACCATTTCGTTCACATATTTTCACAATGAGACTTTATAAATGTCATTTCAAGATAACATGTGATAAATATACTTGCCAATTTGAACAAACCGTATCATAATGTGGACAGGGCATTGTGTAAACAAAAGATTTTTGTTATTCTCTCATATATAGCGAGATCTTTGTGAGCAATTTAAAGTGTATCTATTGCACGCACAATCATTCTGAGATGGAAATATATAGCACCATATTCGATGCCATCCATTGAGATGTGGCCGCCATCACTGACATGTGCTTAGTTTAGAGTCATATAAAAGGAATTGGCCATATTCGAAGAGATTCAACGAATGAAATACAGCAATTTTATAAGTGGACCAGGCCAGAATTATCAATTGATTTTCAGATTGTGCTTATCAGTTACCGGTAATTTATTACATCTTATCGGCCCTTGTGACAAATTTAATTCCTCATTGATTGCTTGTTAAATGAGTTACGCATGAAGTAATATTTAAAAAATAATAATAATCTCGAGCCTGCAATGCATTGTAGCCATTTTTCTTTCTGACCGCGCTGTTGCTATACGTTTTTTTTTCTCTCACAAAAACCAATAGTTCAGAGTGACAATAATTTATAGGTTTTATTGTATATTTTTGTGGTCTTCAATATATGATACTGTTTCAGTTCGATTTTGCATTAAAACGGTTTCAATCTTTTAACTATTGACGTAAACTCCGAATAATTTCATTTTACTTCCAGTAATTGAAAATATAATAGAATCTAAGATTAAGCAAGCAATTCGAATGGAATATTTCTTCAGTAGGAAACAGTTCTTCTAATAAGATACAAATGATGAGTTGAACTTGAATATGAACATTGTTTCTTTTAATTCACAAGAAACGTTTAACATGATAACGTTTTGTTTCATTTTTCTTCTTTATTCTCTCTCATTCAATTGAGATCATAGTTCTCTCATACACGCTGTAACACTCAAACTTTTAAGCATGTTACGTTCTCGCAGAGAAAGAGAGCACCGAGTAAGAAATAGAAAATTCACTTCGATCAATCCATCGCGTTCATTGATTGCTCAACATTTATTACATACCAAGACAAATGATATGACAAAAGGCAAAGAAAGTATTTGTTGTTACTGACGCGGTTGCATTTCAAAAATTGTAAGGCTTCCAACCCAACAATGACCTGTTATGATCTTTTAATGGTCAATTTGAATATATGGAAAAAATCCAGCATACCTTATACTCAAGTTTATTATTCATGATTAAGTGTTGTACATTTGGGAAAAATACAGATGATTCGCATCAACATACATTTTGAACTTGACGTTGGAACAACAAGAAAATACTTAACGTATTTGTGATTTGAACAGATGTAGATGATGTGTCGCACTCTGGTGAATATTTTGTGAACCAAATTTGACATCTTACCTTAATATTGCATTTATTTACGCTTCGTGTTTGTTTTGAGGTGTGCGTATTTTCTTTATTTTCAATTGAATTTTTTCGAGCATTTTATTGCATTTAGTAAAATGACTCGGCATGCACGAAACTGTACGGCTGGTGCTGTTTATACATACCATGAAAAGAAGCGAGATGCAGCTGAATCTGGATACGGGACGAACCATCAAAGAATTTCAAAAGACTCCGTCAAAAGTTTCGATTGTTGTTCTCTAACTCTTGCACCTTGTCGCAATCCAGTAATCACGTTAGTACTGCTAATATATTTTCATAACTTTCATAACTTTACTCACCAAAATTTCTTTTCGCATGCAGTAAAGATGGATATTTGTTCGATAAAGAGGCTATTTTGCAATACATAATTACCAAGAAGACTGATTACGCCAAGAAATTGAAGGCATACGAACGCCAAAAACAAGCGGAAAGAAGTGAAGAAGCTGAAGCGAATGCATTGGAAGAACAAAAGAAACTCATGAAATTCATCGACACAGAAAAAAATATTGTCACTTCGAAATATGGTACAGCTCAAACATTTTGTAGAACCATTTGGGATCAATGTGACGAATACTGACATATAAAGTTTTATTTACAGCTACTCCAAGTACCAGCGCAGGCACATCGAGCATTTCCAATATGGCAAACGGTAGACAGAACGATCTGCCAAGTTTTTGGGTACCATCACAATGTCCATCGGCCAAAAAGACAAAAGTGGAAAAACCTGATTCGACTATATACTGTCCAGTTTCATTCCAGCCGATCAAAGCAAAGGATTTGATCGATGTGAAATTTACTTTGGTACAAGATCCAGATGACAAAAAATCGTTGATTGTTAAGGAAAATCGCTATATGTGCGCTGTTACACATGATATTTTGAGGTTTTGAAATTTTATATATTTAATAATTTTTATTTATTTAATTATTATAATATTTTATTATCCTTCTTTTTTTAAATAAATTTTAATAGTTTTTTTTTTTTTGATTTATAGCAATTCCGTTCCATGTGCCGTGTTGCGCCCAACGTAAGTACAACAACAAATTCACTTACAGCTTATTTTCCAAGAGTATGCTTTAATGATTGACGAATTAAAAACACATACAGAGGTGATGTGGTGACAATGGAATGCGTGGAAAAGCTAATCAAAAAGGATATGCTCCATCCGCTGACAAATACAAAGCTAAAGGAAAAGGACATTATACCATTACAACGAGTATGCAAAAATTCAATTTCAAATCCCACGTATTCCATTTTTAATGTGTAAACTAATCCAATGAATCTTTTTCAGGGAGGCACTGGATACTCGCAAACTAACGCAGATTTAGAAGGAAAAGAGAAACGACCTGCTCTCATGTCATAAAGTACTTTTGAACATTATTCAATCGTCAATTTAAACAAACATTCAAGTATAAATTTTCTCCCATGTCAAAATCTGCTGACGATTCAATTTGTATTAATTAAATCAATTTTAATTCAAATCGAAAATCCAAGTTATGTCTTTTTCTTCATTGAATCAACACCATTTTTTTGATACAGGCCTAGAGCGTGTGCGCACTCAAACAGCGTTTGGTTCTGTCCCAGAAAGAATATCTAGATAAAAACGAGATAATCTTAAAAATGTTCAAATCTATCTAGATATCTTTTTTAAATTTTTCTTTTTTTTAATCTTTTTTCCGAAAAAAAATCTTTGAGCTATCTTAAGATAATCTTTTTAGAAATATATCATTCTTTATTCATATGTCAATTTGATGAATTTTCTTCAATTTTTTTTTGTTCTGTGAAAAATGCACGAAATTTGGCCAAAAAACTTTAATTTTTGAAAAATATCTCAATTAACAAAAAATTTCAGTTGGAAGATTTACGTGATTTACCCTGATTTTGAAGTGTATTTTTTTTTCTTTAAGTGGGATGTGTATATTTTTTTAACAAGTAGGACAAATCTGTAGTGTGAATCATCATTTGGTATCGATCGAATCTCTGATACAATTACTTGATGAATATCTTAATTTCTATCTAAAAAACGACAGATAGATAGTCGAAAAAAAAAACTGAAAAGATAATAGATAAGATTTTCGACATTTTTGAAAAATTATCTAGATAAGATAATAGATACTATCTATCTTATCTTATCTTAATATCTTATCTAAGATGGATATCTTAACCAAACGCTGCACTTAAATATGCATTGTGTGCCGCGTGCACAAATAAAACAGCCGACGTCTAACGCCACAATGTTTAATTGAGAAAACAAAAAACAATTACAGTGCACACGGTCACATTGTGGAAAATGCTTAAATTTGCCGGCTCATTCAATGAACGTCTGACCATGCAAAAACAATGCGATGATTTGATAATCATGCGAATGCATGGTCACATAGTACCGATAGTTAATTGATGACCTTAATTATGTAAGTTTTATGGAAGTTGAATTGTTAATCCAAATTGGAGTGTTCGCCAGCCAGTGATGTACAAAATATTGCCCTAGTGGCATATCTCATATTCCATCAATCGTAGAAGAATGTGCTAGCTACCCAAATTAATGTATCTCTTTTCCGAATCTTTCAACATTTCTCTTCGTAAATTGTGTTTATCAGCACTATTCCGCTGTAATTTAATATGTTCGCGTGTATTAGCGACTTCGTAAGAATTTTTTTTCCGAACCAAAAAGTGCAACAACAAAGAATAAGAATGGAAAAAATGAAGAAATTCAATTAAATACGTTGTATGCTTGGTCGCCGTGTTACCGGATCCGTGTCAAACACCTTTTTCACAATAATCATCACATTCAAGAAAAGCAAATTAAAGCGGGAGGAAACATTGCGACTGCTTTGTCTTTCACTGTCACAATCATTTCAGTTTGGCTGATTATTTCGACGGGTTCACAACTCATCGTTTCAGTACACACACAATTCTGATACAAGATAAATGGAAGCTAATTTTCCCGGTTTTAGCATCGACAATAAACAAAAACGACGGACATTATTCCACATTGTTGCCACTAACTGAATAGTATCATTGAAGTGATTTCCAAAATTGCGCTTGAATAAACAAAGACATCAAAGAAGCAAGGAAAAAACTGTTACAAAGTAAATATTGTGAATAATTGAATGTGTTCATGTGTGTATGGTGTGAATTTTTCATTTATTAAGTTTTGCTGCGTCCGCCACTCGCAATATAGTTCCCATGAAAGAAAGCTACACGTGTAGTACCGTCTCAATTTTTTGAAGAAGAAAAAAAGAACACAAGCCGTTGTAAGTTATATGATAGTTGGTTGAATTTCGTTTTTAACGGATTTATGATTGGTAAGGATGATATTCTGTGTTGCTTTTTATTTGTGGAAGTAAATTACATTATCTAAGACCATTTTATTGAAAGAATTGCCAATCCCTACGGGAAAACATTTGAAAATGTAACTCAAGCGGTAGTTGATCGTATCAAATGTTATTCAAGATACCACACATCCCACCGACAACAGAATTTTTAGAAATATGTTTGACGCATTTTGTCGAAAGTTAGATGGATTAAATATGTAATTGAAATCAAGCCGAAGCAAACGCAAAAACATACCTTTTACGTCATCGCCGCTACGTCTCAATAGTATTTTCCTGAAAAAGGAACTGACGGTGATTTTTCCCCATTGCGATTCAAACTCTCTAATTGACGACAGCGTAAAAATTTCATTAAGTGCTGGATCCTTCGCGAAAAATATCATTATTAAGTTGACAGAATTCGAGAAGAAACCTTCTCGCAAACGAGAGAGTAAACAATTGCCCAGTCATGACTATTACATAATTATTTATATACGAGTATGAAGATGGCCGAAGAATGAACGGTTCAGTAAACAATTTTATTGTTGCAAATTATATATTACGATTTTTGTGCAAACTCTTTAAATTGCGTCGATTCTTTTGGAATGATGATGCTTATTATCGATATTGTGGAGTAATATCCATGGGGGGTGCAATATATTTTGAAAGAAACATGTCATAAACAGAATGACATGCATACGAAATGATCAAAACCAGTTGTTTATCAGAGAATAGTAAGCCATTGCGCCATTGTTCATTTTTAGTGCAGGATTTTACAATTTCATGCTTTGTCGAAAGCAACAACAACAATATCAACGAAAACAGCAATAGCAAATCAGTCCAACTCATATTTTGGACTGAAAATCGTTTTGTCTTCATTGTGTCAACATTGCATCAGTTCCAAACTTTATTTTGAAATGCTCTTAAAACCGGAAAAAATAGGAAAGTATATTTTCTGCATTTGTTTCCTGCACAGAATATTGAATTGCACGTTTGCGTAAGCATTTGATAAGAAATGAGAGCGAGATGCGAAGACAAACAAACAAAACAATAAGAGAGAGGGAGAGAGAGAGAAGAAAAACGAAAGCGAAAAAAAGGAAAAATGTAGAGGGTACAAAGACAAGGATACCGTCGCAGAGAAAACAAAAGAGTGGATATAATGAAATAACAGGATAATAAAAAGTACGCATTGTTATTTATCTGAATGTTTTTAAATCAATGCCATTTATCCATAAAATAAATTTGGATCAGACGTTTGTTTTCCATTTGCTGTGATTCATGGGATTCGCATCACTTCGCATGGTTACGACACTTGCAAATAAGATGCAATTATGTTTTTCCTCACTCAAAGTGTATTATTCCGTTTTATTATTGCATGAACAAGTTTTGTTAAATAAAATGCTTAATTATTGACATTGATTCTTCTTGCTGTCGTTGTTATGTCGTGCTTCAATAAAATAATTGGTCGATATTTAATCTCAAAAAAGTTACAACCATGTATGGGACGTATCTCTTTTGATAGCCTGCAATTCCTTCCTCAATCAATTCAGAAATAAATTTGTCGATAAAAATAATAACCTTTTAGTTGTGAATACACCTGCACGTATCAGAGGTAGGTGTCAATGAATACGAACAAACAGAAGAAAAAAAACTCGAGTTTGTGCGTTAGTTCATTGTTGAAATGATTTAAAAATATTCTAACGGGCGTTCATTCTTGCAAACACCACATACGACAATGGCAACGAATAGTCCAGGCTTTTGTACGCATTATAACTAGGGAAATCTGCGAAAAATCACTGAGCTTGAAATATAAATCATTGTATTATTATCACTACTCGTTGTATTGGACACCTAAAATTGCTTACATTTGACACCTGAGCTCATTCCGTGTTTTCAATATCATCCCAGGTGCTAAAAAAGGATACAAAAAGAAAAAAAAAAGAAGAGAAATTTTATGCACTGATTATATAAGAAAAGTTTGTTTCCCTATTAGCCAAACTAAGTATAACAGATAATTACATTTAACATTGGCTACGATAGTCTATACCATAGGTAATATGAAACATAATTAGATTTGTAACATGTAGATCATGTATTACATTACCATTTTACCATTTGTTAGGAATTGATTGGATGCACAGCAATAAGTAAAAGAAAATGAATAGTGTCCAGCAAAAATCGTTGACCAAAGATATAAATAAGATTCAGACAGAGGATATTTCATTTTGCAATGATAGACTACAGCGTATTAGCTGTGGATTCTGTATCACTTATAGAGACCAATATTATTGGGATATACGATTTTTCGATTTCTAGTCATAGCTACAACATTGTTTATGCATCAATTGAATGTAAAATCAAATTGCTTTGCAACCTAGATTAGAAGAATTTGATTGAAATGTCACTTGACATATTGTAGAATATTACTATATACACCGAATCAACACATAAAATACATCGTGCTCTATGTTACATATTGACCATTCATGGAATTAAAGCATTCATTCAATTCTTTTCAACACAAACAAAAAACACGATTACAAAAAGACAAATGAAACCAATGCGAAAAAAAGCAAACGACAGAATGACATGGATTTTGCAAACGAAATCATTTTAATGCAATTAAAAAGAGACTTTCCCTAATCATTGCACATTCAATTTAAAAAGACAATGAACAATGTACCTGTCAATTATTATGACGGTACACGACGTACGGTAACGTAGAAATTATACGTTTATTCACAAGAAATCCAACATTCAGAATAATGTTTGGAAAAGGGGATGTGAATGAATACAGCAGCAACAAAAAAGAATATCCTAGGATAAAGGTTTTTTTTTTTTTTTCGAGCGAAACAATTTTGACTCTAATTAATTACACAGAAATACTGTGCAACGTGTGCGTACGGTGCTTTGTCCGCATCGTGCGTTACAAATATATCAGGATTCGCGAGATAGCCACCAACAAAAGCATGAAAACGGGATCTCGTTTCGCTGATTTGCATTTTGGGAAAATCCGTTGCAAATCAATGTACGCGGAATTTATTGGTATTGCATACATATGTTTCTATATTTTAGTACTATAGCAATATCTCACACACAGTCAGGCTAACTAATCGCCTTATTCGAGGTGAATGCATGCGAAAGCAATGTGGTCGATAGGAAATTCGGGCCGAAAAATAAGAGCATCGGACGTTGAGAGACTGAACATATCACACTGAGTTTTTTTGTTGTTGCATTTTCAATTTGGTCAGAACCCATTGTCGACAATGTCCTACATCTGTAATTCAAATTGCATTGGAACTCTTGCATTTTTCTTGTTTAGCTCAAACATGCGCATATTGATGGCAAAACTAATTCAGTATTTCGTTTGTTTACGATATAGACTACAATCAAAATGTAATGCATTATTTGTATGCTATTGCATTTTAATACTGTATACGGTTCATTTGTAGTCTTTCATGGTTTTTACCCACAGCTTTTGCGAGCCACACAACCAATTTACCATGTTCAATTCAACAATCGTCGCAAATCCGATAATCTGGTTATAACAGAATAAATCACGATACGGACATCAAAGCAGTTAAATATTCTTTAATGGGCAGTCGAACTCAACCACGACACAAATTAAACGAAAAAAAATAAACAACAACTCGAATTGAATTGATGTGGGACACCGGTGCGTTATTTGATGCAAAAGAATATGACGAACAACATCAATATGATTTGAAATATATATATATATATAATAGCTTAATATAAAATTGTTTGCTTGAATTTTGAAACTTTTTCAATGATTGTACGAAAGGTTCTTTTCCAATGGAAATTTGCCATATCATACATTTATTAGGATGTTTTTTTTTTTTTTGAATATTTGAAGCACAACGTAGGCATCACAAAAGAATGAATTCATGAATCATAAATCAAACACAAGAAAACATAACTGAACGGAACTGACGACCTGCATATGAAAATAGATAAAGTTGAAACAAACCAAAACAACTAATACTTCAGACAAAATGTCTCGTACGTACACATTTAATGCAATATCACTCATTTCTGTTTGCCATCGAAACTGATCTTAGTGTGGTCACTAGAACGTTTACAGTTGTTAAACTGTTCATCACAAAATAAATCAAAATTGATTTGCCATTAGAGAATGTTCTAGTGAGAAGTGAAAAAGTTTATGTTCAACATTATTGATAACATATCTGAACAAATACGGTCTGGAAAAAAATTGAAAGAAAACAGAGTTGCTATTCAAAAATGATGCCATTTTTTACATGCACACAGAAAAAAAAAACTCCAATAAAATTGAATTTGAGAAACACTGCAACAGATGCCCCGTCAGATCTAAGCGGTTGAAATCACTTGGTATGATGAAACAATCAAGCTGGTGTAGGGCGATACGTAGAAAGGTACATATGTACAGTGTGCATTATTACACGGTGGAAATATGTGTGACGTCGTCGAAAGTTATGTCCAACCCCTTTTTCATTTGATTATAAAGCTACCTGTTGAAATGGCTCCACATTCGGCGAGTAATATTTCAAGAACGAATTTGACATGCGCTACTACATCTGATAAAGTTAAATGAAATAACAATGGCACACTCCGTATACCGTAAGGTAGCAAGAAGCGCATTCGGCACACAATTCATTCAATTGCCGAATGCTTTTATGGTATTTAAAGTTATTGCGATGGTAGCCACGGTCTCAGTATGAATTAAAAACGGAAAGCGAATTAAAGCTAAAGCGGATAGATCGAGTCAGTTTTTCACTTCATTATTTTTTTTCTATTCGAAGGTTTTTTCTAGTTTGGTTTAGTTTATGTTTTCTTTGCGGTGAATACTGGTCTCCGACATTTCATAGTATTTTAAACAATTATTAGTTACTGTCCGTTGTAATTTCCACACTTTCCGCAGTTTCAAAGAAAACTAGTTCAACAATTTACATGGGAAAAAATTCAAAGTGAAATATAGTTATTATTTTAAAAGAAATAATTCAGTGCCGAGAAAAATGCCAAAAAGTAAAAAATGAATTATTCGTTGCTTGATCTTTTCGGGGATGAATGTGCAAATAAAAGTGCTTTTGCACACACGACATAAAAGTAGATGGATTATATGCTTCAAATATCTAAGATATGTCATCGTTTAAATCGACAGATATACCGTATTCTCGGTTATGTCAGGAGGGAGATGAAGACCACGAATTTATAAATCTCGAGGAATTAAACCCATGCCATTTGAATGAGCTAGAAGTATTAAATCAACCAGGAGCATATGACATTCAAAACCATAGTCTAATCCACGGATCGCAATCGGGACCCAACAATACAATATCACACAATTCAGCACAAAAGGATTCACAATATCATGGGCATCATTGTAATCAGATGATGTATCAAACAATTCCACAGCAGACGCAGTACGAACAACAACTGCAAACTGATGAAGCGATCCTCAATCAACCATACTCATCATTAAATCAAAGCCATTATCACTATCCACGAAATTATGAACAAAATACCGATCCAGAACTCCATCTCTACCATACGCCAGTGTATCCGCAACAGCAAATGCAAAATCAATTCTACTATCATATCAATTCATTGAATAATTTCAACGACAATCTCAACAGGTTCGCCGACATAGTGTGAAATTAAATAAATTTTCAATATGTGATTGGATTTTGTCATCAATAATAAGTGGTGATAAGTTCCTATTGCAATGGAATCAATGACGAGCTAACGACCATTCTTATTCTTTTTATCAATTTTATTTTTCATTGCTGCTGGAATGACATCTTCAACGGGAACACAGTGATTCTGCATATTACACAGTGCTGGGAAATGGGACTCCCTACAGCCTACCAAACTCAAATGAAGCACCACCAAGTGAAACGCACAGTGCACAAAGTGCGCTTCAATCAAACACCATACCCACCACTTATGTCTCAAACCCACGAAAACGAAAGGCATATTCCACCACGTAAGTTTTATTTATGTACAACATTGGTGAATGTTTGCATTCACAATCTAGAATTTGTGTTTCAAATGTCACTCAAAGAAAAATTAGGCCTTGATCGTATATTCTTTATGTCTTCTTCGAACCATTTTCACGGGCAAAACAGTACCAAATTGGCACATACAAATGCCACATATATTTTGATGTGTAACGGTAAAATTAGTTGGTTGAAGCACTAAAAATGCCCTTAGCCTCATAAAATCGTACAGCTATTGTTTTCAAAATACTAAAAGTGTGTGTGTGTGTGTGTGAGTGTGACTGTGATTGTAATTGTATTTATTTTTTTTTAACGAAACATGCAAATACTTCTTTCAAGCCACACGGTCGTTTTTTGTGTGTTTGTGGTATATTTCAAACTAGAGTAGCTCGCAGTAATTAACGGGAATTTTGAGAAGGAAAATTATTAGATTTATCAATCTGAAGCGCAACAAATTACACCAAACACCGACACGGCTATACAGAAGCATTGTTTTATTGAATCAACAGGAAAAGAAGAAGAGAAACGCCCGTGCGCATATACAGAATGTTTTGGAAATTTTAAAACACTTGCCTTTTGTCTAGTAGATTTTAAAGGATTCAATTCGAAGACTTTTCTGAAAGCAACCAAAAGTTAACTTCCTTCCAAAAGTTGACTTTTGTTCAACAAAACATTTGCAGACTATTTACATTCGAAACAGTAATTAATGTTATGCCAACGGATGCTGTCATTTTAATTGGTTCACACTTTTCGAAATCATTGTTCAGAAACTTATAGGTTATCACCGCCTTTGAACTCAATTAACAAATACTTCGAATTTTTGATGAAATGCAAAGAAAATGTCAATGACGGCAACGATTTTTGATTCACAACTTCATTACATAATTCGCATTCCATTTCAGATTTTTTTCTCTCCTTCTTTTCATTATTACTCGTTTAAATTAATTTAAAAGGATTGAATTCATTGTAAATAATGAATAACGTTCACCTTTGAATTTATTGAGAAAATGGGAACAATACAGATTTCCAGGAAATGATTTATACGTAAAATTATGGAAAATTTAATATGGTTTAGCTAAAATTTACAATTATTCTCATTTAATTTATTATTTATTTAGAGATGCAAGTGATTACGAGAGTGATACGGAAGATGATGCGAAGCTGGCCAAAGCGAGTCAAAATAAAAAGTAAGTATTGCCATTGTATACATTAGCATTTCTTCGAGCTCTTACACAAGCTGCGTCATTGGTGTTACGCTAATAGTTTGTAGATATCATCAATTGATTAGCTAATAACAATACAACATAGTCGTATGATTGTACGGCGATAATTTTGTTTAGTGCCATGCGAAACCATAGAAATGTCCTCCATAATATGTTGTGCATACGTCAACCGAATACTATCAACATAATTAGAATACGTTCCGTAGATGTTCCATCGTATTGGAAAATTCTACAAGCAAAATTTACTAAAAACAGCAGACTTTCTTCAACTTGTGTCTCTGTGTGTGATTTGACATTTTATTTTTTTGTCTTTTTACCATCAAGGAATCATAGCGAAATCGAGAAAAGACGCCGAAATAAAATGAACAATTACATTACGGAGCTGTCTACATTGGTGCCGATGTGCCATTCCATGTCCCGAAAATTAGATAAGCTGACAGTCCTGCGAATGGCTGTTCAACACATGAAAACGGTGCGAGGTTCGGTGCACTCATACACGGAAGGCCTGTATAAGCCTACGTTTCTCTCCGATCACGAGCTTAAAATGTTGATATTAAAGGCGGCCGATGGATTTATGTTTGTTGTCGGTTGTGATCGCGGTAAAATTTTGTACATGTCACAGTCGGTTTCACAGGTTTTAAACTATTCACAGGTATTACAGTCGATCAGATGCTTTACTCTTATTTTGATTCGTTTTCAAACATTCTTTTCATCGCCTCTAAGATTGATTTGTCTATAGTCAGCTTTATTTCATGATTTATCGATCTCCTTTATTTCATTTACATTTAATCAGCAAGATTTATTGGGCCAAAGTTGGTTCGATATTATTCATCCAGAGGATGTGGCAAAAATTAAGGAGCAATTATCTTCATCTGATCTTAGTCCACGAGAAAAACTCATTGATGCAAGAAGTATTTACCAAAAATGCTAGACATTCTTAACTAATAATGAAAAGATTCTAATGATTCCCTTAATATCCCAATCGAACAGCAATGCTTCCGCTTAAAACTGATGTTCTACAGGATTTATCTTTTTTGTGCCCAGGTGCTAGACGCGCATTTTTCTGTCGTATGAAATGCAAAACATCCGCAACGTCAAAAGATAGTGTCAATGTGTTCCCTAGAGATATCCGTTGCAAAAAGCAAACCAATTCCGATAAAAAGTATATTGTCATTCATTGCACGGGTCATCTAAAAACATGGACACAATCAAAGATTGGGCTGAAAGAGCGCGAGTCGTATGGCGAAGGATACTCATGTAATTTGAGCTGTTTGGTAGCAGCTGGAAGAGCTCCACTGAATGTCTTGCAAACACCAATATTGCCAACGTCGACGGGCCAACCAAAAGAAGTTCGGAAAAACTTACAATTTTTATCAAGGCACACAATTGATGGAAAATTTCTTTTCATCGATCAAAGGTAATTAGGAAACAGATTTTGTAAAATCAACAAAATAAATGATCGTTTAAATTCAATCTTTTGTTCAAAATCCATTTCAGAGCTACATTGGTACTTGGATTTCTACCGCAGGAATTATTGGGCACAAGCATGTACGAATATTACAAATATGAGGATATACCAGCTTTAGCTGAAGCGCACAAGAACACTCTACAATCAACGGAAAAAGTAGTTACATCGGTGTATCGATTTCGCACCAAACGAAATGACTTTGTTAGCTTGAGGAGCGTGTGGAAAACATTCAAAAATCCATGGACTAAAGAGATTGAATCGATGATGGCGAAAAACTCCGTACTTTTGTAAGCAACTGTTTGTTTAAGTCGCAAACTATTATGTGATATTTCTACGAATTTCAGTGATGTGATACCGGAAAATGGCAGTTGTAGTGCAGTTTTAAGTTCGGAAACTAGTACCGCTGCAACTCAAATTCCAGGAAACTTCAATTTTTCTAATCAATGTTGGTATATACAAAATTCCATGAGTATTTTTTTCCACTTGAAAACGTATTTTTATCAAATTCATGTGCTACTAAATTATCATGCTCAAAATACCTTCAAATTTGTACTGTATGATTTTGGTCACGCTAGAAATATGTATTTTTAATTTTGTTTGATTACATTCATAACAGATGCATTCGCTTCTTTCAGCAACGAATGGCCGCGAAATGCATCGGGTCATTAATACACACGTAGAAGCAATCAAAATTGGTCGGCAAATTGCCGAGCAAGCATTGGATTCACATCGGAAAATAGAAGAGTCTGGTGAGCTCAAATACCTTATGTGTATACTCTGTAGAATACTCTATCTCCCTGTCCAGTGCTAAGTGATTAAGTAATTTAAATAAAATTGTGTAATGTTGCTGCTAATATAAGCTATTTGAAAAAAAAAAAATATTTTTTTCATTACTGTTTTTCTTTGGCTTCATCACGACTCATTCGATTATGAAAATAAAAAGAATTACATTGGTAATCTCGAACTTTTCCGTACCGTTGTCCTGCGTTGTCCGTAGCTAATTTTGGTTATTTTTTTTTAAATTTTCTTGAAATAAAGGCAGTGAAAATATAATAATAAAAAATAAAGTGAAAAATTGGTCACTTTAACTAAAACTTCGACAATTTTGTATGAGAGGTATCCGTAAACCGATTCTTATTGGCTTTAAACTTTCTGAGGATTCATTTTTTGGAGAAAATATAAGATTCTGAAAGTTTCATGTTAATCGCATTTGCAGAAGTTTGATTTTTGACCCTCCATTTTTTCCAAGAAAATTTCGACAAAAATTGAGGACAAAAAATCAAACTTCTGCAAATGCGATCAACATGAAACTTTCGGAATCTTTTTTTTTCTCCAAAAAATGAAACCTCAGAAAGTTTGAAGCCAATCAGAATCGATTAACGGGTACCTCCCAAACAAAAGTGTCAATTTTTTGAGGTTTTTCTTAGGGCAAGTACCCCAGGATCAAATTGAAAATGGCTCATCTTCGAACTTAAACTAAGTTTTTAGATACAAAACTTTTGGTATTTCCAGATTTTGATTATTTCAATTATTTTTTGAGTTATCGTGTTAACAAACACCAACGACGACGACGACGACGACGGCACACGAACGGAAAAGTGTCTCAAAAAATGGCGGGACCAATTCCTATACTTTCCCTTGACATGGTGTGTACGGAAAAGTAATAGGATTAAGCCACGACGGTCAAGATCCTTATTGTCTTGGTTTAGTGCCATAATTACGTCGTGTACTTACATCTTCGTACTGATTAATAAATTGAAATCAATTTGGCTTTTTACTACGTTTGAACATTTCATTTTGAACTACCAAATGAATGAAAAATATACATCTTCTGGACTGAATGAAATAATGATAACATATGTATTACTCAATTTATTTGCCCAACTTTTTCGATTTTATACTGATTTTCGATATTTCAGTTGTAGTCAGCGCCGATTCTGAAAGCCGTATACCGAATTCAGTAAATCCTTTTCCAGTTGCAACTGCATTATTTGAAGACACTGACAATTCTACCTACGACCTATCAAGTTCAACGTCGGCGCCCACTCGCATCAATGGCCTTACATCTCGAGTCAATGGAAGTTCTGCGTTGCCAAACACCAGCCCAAATGAGAGTAAGCATACATTTTATGTTTCACTTATTTGTATCGTTTTACATTTGCCGGTGACTGAACACAGTTCAATCATTGAAAGATCAAATCATCTACAATACGATCCACTCATCTTCATCGTTTCAAATGCATATCCAATTTAGAAAGAAAAAAAATAATCCCGGAATTTCACATGCGTAATAACGTTGATGTTTGAACTGTGCTTGGCCATAATTATTCGTAAAACGACACAGATAACATTCTTTCCATTTTTTTTTTTCTGATAAACAAAATAACAGATTCTGTCACCGAACTAGTTGGCCTGATGTCAAATTCAACACTGTCTGAAACATCAAATGGCGGTCGCATAGGCAATACAGAAGGCAACGATGAAGCAGCCATGGCTCTGATAATGAGTTTACTCGAAGCCGATGCCGGTTTAGGTGGGCCAGTTGATTATACGGGATTGCCGTGGCCACTACCATAGACTTTAGTCACAGAAATCGATGAATCCATCATTAAATTTGTATTATAAAAAAAAATAGAATAAGGTAAAATTAAAATGGAACATTAATGTAACAAATCAACTCTTAACAAACTCAATGTGAAATTTTCCTAATGAAACATTATTATAATTTAGACAAATAATAAATTCGAATAAATGCAATTCACTTATCATTCCGAATTTTTAACTCTTGTGATAACACGGACAATATTCTACATGTAAAATTAACAAAATTTCACATCTTTCAAAAACTGTACAGTCGGTCTTCGCATTGTAGAGAATGTAAAAAATTAATAAACCAAACCATTTAGTTTTTTTTTTTGGTTTCATATCGAACATTGAACTTCAAATTATCAAGATGCATGACAATTGGGAACATTCTCAATATGCACCTGGTACTATTATTTTAAATGAAGCGCACAAGAGTTCAACATTTATTTAATTGTCATGTGTGCGGTATGTTAGCATGTAATTGTGCATGCATTCAAATGCATATCGTTTGTGTGGGCAGTGTACATCAGTATCAAGTATGATTTCACTTCCAATTCTATTATGTATGCATGTTCCGTTCATAAATATGCATGATGAATTCCAGCAATATTGAACCGACGCAAACACACATTTTTGATCAAGAGTCTTACAATGGAATCATTCAGAAAGAAATATTGATCGCCGTCAAGTTCTTTTGATTTTGTATTCAACTGGTTAGAAATTCGCCGTTAAAGATGGCAAAGTTTTTGTGAAATCTTCAAAAAACGCAAAGATTTACGTGTAGATCCAATATAAAATGTACTAAAAAAATCCTCGCATCTCATTTTTATTCTAAATGATTCGAAATATCTAAAAATTGTTTGTTAAAATTGGCAAAGAAGTTTTGGAATTGAGATATTTTTTTCTTGTCTATTGAGCCGATTCGTTTTTCGCCGATATTTATAGATGACTCGGAAATTGTCTAATCTATATCGCGAAAACATACCTTTAACCAACTCATTAGAATATCAGCAAAATATTTCATTCATGCCAATGCTTAGGACACAAACAAATAATGGCGTAGCACAATTCAAACATACACTATTCTTTGATGTTTTTTTTTTAAAGAATAAAAGAGTGGAATGAATGGAAACTGTTATACCAGTATAACCTGGCCGCTACAGCACCGTTGGATATCGACTCTAGACAAGAGTGAGTGAGGCGTACTGCAAGCGCGTAAGATGCATTGTGTTTATAGTTTGAATAGCATTTCAAATGCATATTAGGCAACGAATATACAAAATAAATACGATACCATCATAGCCGATTGAAATCACTTTTCACGTAGACTTCGACCAAATAACACCGACACATTTGTTTCGTTGTTACCGACACCATTTTACCGTTATTGTGCATACATCGCAGTCGAACAAAATGTTTCTCGTTTTTGTGCTCATTGTGACTGTGCTTGGGCTGCTGCTGATAGATTCGCGAAAACCGAAACATTTTCCACCAGGTAATTTTTGTCATTTATTTTGCGATATTTTTTGTAAATTAGATGGTTTCTTCGCTACATTTGCATTACAGGGCCACGTTGGTTACCTTCAATCGGCAATCTTTTTTTGGTGCACAAATTACGTGCAACATATGGGTTTTTCTATTTGGTGTGGCATCATTTTTACCAAAGCTATGGACCGGTAGTCGGAATACGCATCGGTCGAACTTTTTTAGTGATAGTCTTGGGCAGAGATGCGATACGCGAGTTTTACAACATGGATTCGGTAAATGGCCGACCAATTGGATTTTTCTATCGTATTCGAACTTTCAATAAGCGATTGGGTGTTGTATTCAATGACGGTGATTTTTGGGACATTCAAAGAAAGTTCTCATTAAAAGTACTACGCCAAATGGGCATGGGGCGTGCCAATATGATTGAACAAATTGAAAGCGAATGCATCGAAATGGTTAAATTTTTTACAAAAAAATCAACAAATGATCAACTAATTGAAATGCAACACGCTTTCGACATTCCCGTGTTGAACATTTTGTGGACATTGATCGCTGGATATAGGTAACTGAAATATTATTTCAGCCAGATTCCATTCAATATGTATTGTATTATATTGAATCCAATGTAAATCTTAGGTTCGAACACGATGACGAACGTTTGCAAAAGCTTCTAAAAATGATTCATGAGTGCTTTCGAGTGGTTGATATGACTGGTGGTAAAATACCATTTAAGATTTTGAATATTTGACACATTAAATATAATAAATTCAAAATTTATTTATATAATTTGTTCTATTCAAAGGTATTCTGAACCTATTACCATGGGTAAGATACTTTATTCCAGTTAAATCGGGCTATAAACCATTAGTTGACAATCACAAGCAACTGTGGAGCTTCTTGCGTGAGGTGGTTAATGAAACCAGGGCAAAAAATTCTAACGAACGACCCAAATCTTTTATCAACTCATATTTGGAAGAATTGGAGAGCAAATCCAACGGGGAAAATATACATGGTTCATTTTCTGGTATTGACCACACGAAGTGAATATCATAATTCGCGTGTATTCAGTGTTTTTTTTTTCTTTTTGTAGATGAACAGCTGTTATCAATTTGCTTAGACTTCTTTCAAGCAGGTACGGAGACTACAAGTAATACGCTTAGTTTTGGTCTAATGTACATGGTTCATAATCGGCGAGTTTGTGATCAAGTACAAGCTGAATTAGACGCAGTAATTGGACAAAAACGATTTCCCAATTTGCAAGATCGTAATCATTTGCCATATGTGGAAGCAGTTCTATCGGAGATACAAAGATTTTCGAATGTAGCGCCGTTGGGCATAGCTCATCGTACCACGGAAAATACCCAATTCAAAGAGTACGTTATCCCAAAAGACACTGTAATATTGATGTCACTATACAGCGTTAACATGGACAAAGATTATTGGCACGATCCGGACATCTTCAGACCTGGTATTTCATAATATAATATCATAATTATTATTAATATTATATTATAATATATTTTCAATTTTATATTAATTCAGAACGCTTTTTAAATGAAAACGGAGAATATATACCTCATACAGAGCAGTTTCTTCCATTTGGTTTAGGTGTGTGCCGCTTTCTTTTTCTCGTACAGTTTGTGTAAAAATCCTCTAATTACACCGAGTTTTTTTTTTTCATTTCCATAAATAGGCAAGCGACGTTGTATGGGCGAAAACTTGGCCAAAGCTAGCTTATTCTTATATTTTGCAACATTTATGCACGCATTCAACATGATTGTACCGAATAATGTATCACTACCGAATATCAAACCAATTGATGGCATAACGCTACAACCAAGACCATTCAAACTTCAATTGAAACCAAGATTTTAGACTGATAGCCAACAAATTTAACATTTCAATATAATGAATAATCTTTTCGTCTTTTGTCTTTTGACCCCCCCCCCCCAAAAAAAAAAAATCTCATCAACTCAAACCTCAAGTTTGAACTTCACTTTGTTGTCTGTTGTCGTTTGATGTCGTAAGGTCATGCATAATGCACAAAAAATAGCAACAGTTGTTGCTGTCGTAATTGTACAAATACACGCGAAGGCGCAACAGTCTACTTCAACTGATTATTATTACTGTGACTTCATAATAAGCGCCCGTATCGTGACTACGTGTATGTACAACATATACGTATTCTTGATTATCTTTGCTATTTGACTTGTTTCTCCGTTTTGGCAGCCCAACTAAATATACCAAACGGTTCGGTGCAGCTTGAAGGAAAATAATAACGTAGCGATAAAAGATCAATCATTTTTCGAACGGGACGTATAGTAACATATTTCATTTCCATTTTTAATATGTTCAAAGTGTTTTAAGCAATCGTGAGTTGCGACGAAATCCGTTGAAAAACAAAAGAATTTTCGAAAGCTATCAATATTTCTTGGCGATAGCCAAAGTCAAGAGAAAGAGAAACGAAATTACGTAGGCAGTGAGGTTAGAGTATACAAATTGCGTAGCGAATAAATTCCGTAAATATTATTTGAAATCTGTTCACATAAAATAAAAAAGCGTGTAATTTGCCAAACGTCAAAACTACTGAAAACCCCGTTTTCATATCGACGATTGTCATTTTTGTCGTCACATGTTTTGTTAATATGTACACATTTCGATGTGTCGGTACTCTTGTGCGATCCGCTGCGGTTAAGTCAAATCGTAGCCTTTCGCCACTAACCGTTGCCTTATCTCAAAGACATCAACCATCCACGACTAACACACACGAACTTCTGGCACACAAACCCGAAAACGAACATCATCAACACATCACATCGAGTGTAAACAAAGTAAGTGGAGCTGAATTGGAATGAAGTAGGTTCTAATTGGGATGGCTATAAGAATTATGCAAATATTCTATTTTCAACCAATTGAAATTGTCGTTTATTTTGCCGTATTTTCAGCCTTCAATTAACACAATCACCGATACATTCGGTCGTGTCCACACTTATTTACGAATTTCATTAACCGAACGCTGCAATCTTAGATGTAAGTGTCAACAGTTTGCGCACGTTGTAGTATATGTAGAAGTGAGTGTGTGGAAGTGTGCGGCGTATACATCGCATAAATGGATACATTGGGATGCAACTGAAATAATCATGAGAAATACAACAAATACGCAAACACTAACACACACACACACACCTTGGTAGACAATGTACAAAGCAAACAACAAACAGGGAATAAATTAAAAAAAAATTGGTATCGTTTATGTACTTTTTGGTGAATCTAAGGTCAATATTGTATGCCAGCTGAAGGAGTTCAGTTGACCGAACGTTCAAAGCTGCTAACAAACGAAGAAATTTACTACATAGCTCGTTTATTCGTTGAGCAAGGTGTACGAAAGATCCGATTGACTGGCGGAGAACCAACCGTACGAAAAGACATTGTTGATATTATTCGTAAGTAATTTTTGAGTCATTTTACACAATACAAAATGACACTTTATTTGATGTACGGCAAATTTTTTTTCGGTAGAAAATTTAAAGCAAATCGAAGGTCTTGAACAAGTGAATATCACAACGAACGGCATAATGTTAACACGATTGCTAGTACCGATGCACCGAGCCGGTTTGAATGGTATCAATATTAGCTTGGACACATTGAAAAAGGCGAAATATGAGCAAATCACGCGTCGCAAAGGTTTTGATCGGGCTATTGCCGGCATCGATTTAGCTATTCAACTGGGATATAAGCCAAAAGTGAATTGCGTTGTTATGAAAAAGTTTAATGACACGGAACTATGTGATTTTGTTGAGTTCACAAAAGATCGCAATGTTGACGTACGATTCATCGAATACATGCCATTCACTGGCAATAAATGGGACACAGACAAAATGGTTACATTCCGGTGAGTTAACTAATTATCGTAATTTCTCCAAATGTCAATCGAAATTTTCTGATATAACTTTTATTTATAGTGAAATGTTGTCAACGATTCAAAAGCAATATACCGACTTCCATGCGCTTCCAAATGAACCAAATGACACGTCCAAAGCATACAAAGTCGATGGTTTCAAAGGGCAGATTGGTTTCATCACATCGATGACGGAGCACTTTTGTGGCTCGTGCAACCGATTGCGAATCACAGCTGACGGTAACTTGAAGGTGTGCCTTTTTGGAAACAAAGAAATTTCACTGAAGGATGCAATCAGAAATAATTGCTCCAAGGATGATTTACTTGCGATGATTGAATCGGCTGTAAAGCGTAAACAAAAGCAACACGCCGGTAAGGATTTGAAGCAATTTATTTATTTTTCGATTTAACTCATCTTTAGCAAATATGATATGATAAATTTTTTTTCTGTGAAACCATCGAAATGATACCAAACATTTGAAATTGATTTCAAAATTCGTATTGGAAATGAAATGAAGTATATTCTTGTTGGAACAAATGGTAAATGCGACATATATCAACAAATCACAATGACGAATGTCTTTCTTTTGAACGTCCTCAATAGGCATGCTGAATCTATCACAAATGGAAAATCGACCGATGATTTTGATCGGTGGATAGCATTCGGCTATCGCGACAAATCAAACAAGAACAAATCATACGAAAATGTTAATTCATTCAAACTGCTTTTCAATTTTAGTGTCTAAGGTTAGTTCAGATGTAATTCTTTGTTGAATTTTAACATACTAAGTATTTTGTTTGGATTATTGTTTTTTTGTGGTTGTTTCCCTCATTTTCTTGTTTGAGTTTTGCAATTCAGTCAAATTCATTGGTAGCATGTTTCATTTTGGGTTGGAAATTGGTTTTGTGTTAAGTTGATCCAGTTTCCGTATGCACCTACGACACACATCTCGTGTCTTGTGGCTGGGTAGCTAGAGGAAAATATGGGCGCAAAGCATGTATTTTTGATAAAAAAGGATCATTATCATCCGTATGCAAACCAATACAATTTTTGTTGCTTCTTCTTTTTCCCACTATGGACGCCGCCATTGTTATGAAGATGTTGAGAAATGAGTGTATTTAATTAAATGCCAACATCCGCGTAAGGCTCTACTAAATAAATATGTTTTCGAAATTCATTCTGGAGACAATCACGTTTAGTTAGTCGACTAGTTTGGGACATTTTGACTAAGAGTGATTTGTGATTAAAGTTAACTGCAGTTGCTTATTTTGTTCGAGACAATCACTTCTAGTCAGTCAAATAGTCACTGAATGTCCCAAATTAATCGACTGACTTAGACAGTCAAAAATTTTCCACACGGGTTATTATAAATAAACATTTTTTCTACACCAAATAATCCATTAATTTATACCAATTTGATACGAATTGCACACGGATGTTCATTATCTTTTCTTTTTCTTTTGCATATCTGGCTTCATATTCACGATAACGAAATTTTTGTCATATTGTTTGTATCATAAATGCTCTTCAAATCCGTTCATTGGCAATGTTTTTGATTTGTGTTTTTGACATTTTCAGAACAACCACTGTCTTCAACATCACCAACATCATCCAATTTAGGATATTCAATCAATACATTGTCAGGCTCAAATTACCGTTATATACCGATGCAACCGATGTTCGCCCAAGGAAATCATCAACAAATGCGGTTCTTTACGACCACTGCAAGAAATCTCAATGGAGGTTCGAATGAAACCACAACGCCAAAGCAATTGACGCACATTGACGACGCAGGAAAAGCACGTATGGTTGACGTTAATCACAAGTCAGTCACGGAACGTCTTGCTGTTGCCAGTGCTGTGGTACACGTTGGTCCCGATATCGCAAAATTGATCGAACAGAATTCGGTGAAGAAAGGAGACGTTCTGTCTATCGCACAAATAGCTGGTATTATTGGCGCAAAGCGTACGGCTGAAATCATTCCTCTGTGTCACAACATTCCAATATCATCGGTGGTAATAAATACAGTACTAAATCTAACGGATAATTGTGTAAACATTCGAGCCACTGTTAAGTGTGAAGGCAAAACAGGCGTGGAAATGGAAGCATTGTGCGCTGTCACTACGGCTGCTTTGACTATCTATGATATGTGCAAGGCAATTTCAAAGAATATTACTATATCCGATGTAATGCTTTTAAAGAAATCCGGTGGCAAGCAATTCTATCAGCGAGACGGATATATTGAATTGGATGACAAAAAGCAGGCTAACAATGAGGAAATTGTTATACAAAACTATAACACTGAACCAATTGTAACCAAGGAACCATTCTATCCTACTCACATTTGAAAAGCATCAATGATCGTCAAGTAAAAATTTAATTTTCCAAACAATTGCATTCATGTTATTTTTCACGTATCATTTTATTTTATCGTAAAATTTTATTCAATGGTTTAAATTTGATCATTCACACATTTTTAATGTTATTTTTTTTTGAAGAGAAGGATTTATTGTAATCATAAAATTATTTGATTCAATTAGCACAAATAAAAGTATGTATTTTGCCTTTAATCTTTAACAAAAGTATATGTGTTTTATGTGTATGTGTGAATTTTGGGTTATTTGCGTTTAGTGAGAAACAAATGCCATTTTTGGACAACTTAGACACGAATTTGATGGATAGAATGTGGGTGGCGGTCGGTCATCGTTAGTTTGCCACTAGAACATGGTTTCGATTTTCTTCGCTGTTGCCAGTGCTCGCGGCAGTTTGTTCAGCTCCCGGACCGCTGCCTTCGCCTTTGATTTTAATGTTGTGCTTTTCTCTAAATTTATTAATCTCAACACCTTTCGCGGTCAGCTGCTCTTGTCGCTGTGCAATCAGCTTCTCCAATTGTTCCTTTGCATCATTCAGCTGTGGCAAAACACTTTTGACTGTTCGCTCACACAACACACCGCCAATCAATCGGAAACATTTGCGATCCTCTTCAACCGATTTAAGTGTATCGATTACCGTTCTGCGGGAAAAATTTCAATTTTAGCAGTTGATTCGTTCACAGAGATACCAATTCCATTTGAAATGAAAATTGATAGAAATAGCGTTTGGAGTGAGGTTAGGATCACCTTTTATATGTACTTACTTGTGTTCTTTTAAATCGAGCTCCAATGTTGAAATATTACTGACAATATTTCGTTGTTCGCTGCGCAACGCTTGCAATTCGTTCAATATTTTGACATGTTCTTTATCATTTTTTGATGATTCGGCTGCCATGTTTCAAGCGTATTTGTATCAGATCGATTCGGCGAAAAAATAATCCAAAAAAATAAAACACACACAATACTATGACTAAACGAAGTGTTTTCAGTATTGTGAGTACTTCACGTAGGTGTTTACTGTATGATGTATATATTCTCGCTAAAAATGTCATCTGCACGTTTTTCGACTGTCATATAATACGTAAATCGAAATACGTACGTTGTACGTTCGTGATACGGCTTATATTGGAATGCCCCTGAAATGGCAATTCAATTTGGATATGGACTAGAAATTGGAAAAAAAAAGTAAACCATCTTTTAGGCACACAATCTGGTTATTCTATTTATCATTTTTATTTAGAGATTTAACTTTTGAGTTCCATCCGACGCTATAAAGGATTATCAAAAACTAACTCATATTATAATTTGCCATTATCTAGATCTGCACAAGATTTATACTGTAGTGCCCTATTGTTGGTATTCTTTCGTAATTATACATTCATCTTCTTCGAAATATCGTAATTTGAAAGGGAATATATAGATGTGTCTGGGTTGCTATGGCTGTTTTAGAATGAAGTTTTAATAAGCAAATAATTCGAAAAATATTATCGATATCTGAGACGAAAGAACAATTTTTAATTAAGCATTTCTTTTTCTCGAGGGGAGAGGATTTGAAAATTTCTGTGAAACACTTTTTGTTTTGTAGAGTTTTTCTTTTCTTTTTTAGTTAACCGTTAAACCAACCAAGGTTGTTTAATTCAATCGACATTTTTTTTTACTGTCTACAAAATGCATAACTATTTGTATTCATGCTTATGGAATGCTTTTTCCCTCGGGAATTATTGGTGATTGTGGGGCTGTTGAGGTGTGGCTGTCTAAATTATTCTCATCGGTGAAACTATGAACGGACCCAGAACGAGATGTTGACACTTTCGTCTGTGAAACAAACAAAGCCGAAATTTATTGATTACACACTCAATTGAAAAAGAAAAATCGAATATCGTCATAATTTTACCTTCACATTTTCATAGGCGCTACCGACCCGCTCTTCGATCGAGCGATAGGAATCCGATTTTTTCATTTGGCTCAATTTGCTGGAGATGCCACTTGTTAGGCCGCCCAAAATCGATGACGTCTTTTCAGCAGTTGTTTTAATGGCCGATTCTGTTTTTTGGAAAACATGGCTTTCTCGAACATTCTTCAAACTTTGGTTCATGTCATCAGAGATCTCCTTCCAAACGGTGATACCCAATTTTCGTTTCAATTCACTGGCATGACGTACCTTCGATGTAAGTACAGTTCGTAGAGTTGCAATCTCCTCTTCGACACGAGCCAATTCCTATAAGATATTGAGAAAAATTAGTACCAAATAACTAATTTATAATAATAAATGATGACTGAAGATGTTTGGATTGTTATGGCTTACCTGGCTCCATTCCGCACGAACACGATCCTGCTCTTCACTTGACAAACTAGCAAATTCATTTGCAATATCAACGGAACTTATCGATGCTGCCCCTGGCGAGGTATCTGATAGCTTTTCAGATCCATCTGCAACAAACAATTTAAACAGAATGGGCTTAAACAAGAATCAAAAATCAAATTACGAAAGGTGTATTTTGACACTAGTTTAATTCAATTAAACGATGGATAACCAATATGGAAAAGTGCACCCCATTGAATACAACACTTGCTGTATCGTACGTAATTAAGCGATTTAAATAATAGTGGAAACAAGTAACAATCATAATTAAATAAAAATCAAATATTATACCTCGGCTACCAATATTGAGGAAATTTTTATAATTGTCATTACTGGATATCTTTGCTAAATAAGGCTTGGAAAAGTCAATAAAAGTAACTTTCACATCACGGATCGACTGGCGATTAAAGAGTCTGCCCAAAATTTTAATTTGTTTACTGGAATTGAGAAGTCCATTCCCTTTGGAATCGCAGTTTAGATTAATGGAGGCGAGCTCAGCCTCTGCCTTTTGGTAATCGCTCGTGTCTTCATGCTCGTCGGATATACTGAATATTTGATCAAGCGGTAGTGACCGTAAATATAGTTCGGTTTCGGGTGACCATTCACGACAAACACCATCGTCATCATCATACAATGAACGATGATCGAATTCGGTAATTTCTTCTTCATCTAACGATGGTGTCATCGTTTCTGTTTTCGGATAATATGGATCCTCAATGTATTCCAAACTCGGAGGATCATCGTCGCCCATTTTTCGCATTATTTTTTTGCCTTTTTACGATACTTTCAAACTAACTTCAAACACTCCACAAAATCCAAATTAGGATATAAAATGTCTACTGTACAAACTACATACAATGCCGATGACAAAATTCTAAACATTTCTTCACTTCGATCCAAAAGCCAAAATTACTTTTCGAAAGTATCGTTCGTTAAATTTAGATTAACACGGAAATTTTGATTCGACGCTCAAGCACGACAACAAACTTCATTGTTATTTGTAGTATTGGAGAAACAAAATGAATGTACCGTTATGGAAATCTAGCAGAAAACGCGTACAGAGAAACTAACAAAATCGCTTCAATCACGCCACTGCTATTCTACTCTCACTATGTGTTGTTTAAAAAACATCATCATACATCAAAGTTCGGCTCGTTTGATTCATACCTGTGGATATTCAAACAGTGGAAACCATAGTGGGGCTTTTACTGCGATTACACTCATTTTTTTCTCCATTTATGCTTCACATTCATCCAATTCCTCTCTTTCTCTATCTATCTTCATTTCACTTTGGTGGTTTTTTTTTTTGCGAAGAGTAAAAACACAATAACAAGTGAAACATTCACACAACAAAGTTGACTCACATTTGAGATCATTTTACACAAGCAAAATACTAACCATGTGTGTGTGGATTCCAACTTATTTCAATACAACAACAATCACAGAGGTGCACAGAATAATTAACATAAAACGAAAGTAATTTAACTACGTTTGTTTTCCATGGCAAGAAAAGGTAAAAGAAAGAGAATTGCCATCATTGAAATGTTTTTTTTTTGTTTGGTTTTCTTGTTCAATTCGAAAAGGGATTTTGCTAATGATTAAATTCCTCAAGAGACCTATAGGCGTCCCCAAAGCGCAATGAAATGCATATATACACTGAACACACACACACACACACACAAAATGACCAAAGTGATACTTCTGCTATCTGATACAGCTAGAGCTATTGGTGATCAAACAAATACCGAAAATATGATTCGTAAGCAAAATGAAAATCAATGACAATCTTTCGATAGAAGGAGAAATAACAAAAAAATGTTCGCATACAAAAAAAATCAACCACTTGTCGATTGTATGCGAGGAACCGTGGCAAAAATTAGAGAAAAAATATTGATAATGTTCGGAGAAAGAATTTTCTTTTTCTCTCGATAAATTCAATCAATTGTGGCTTAAAGCAACAAAAACAATATATTATTACGTGTGTATGACTTACATGGCGGAGTAGTTGAACTCATATTGTTTTGAAGATTTTTTTTTTTTTGGATTAATTTTAGCTCAGCTTGATATTTCCAATATTTTAATACCCAATGTAATTGATTTGACCAACAAATCGTCGATTCCTTTGAAATGTATTCCAATCGAAATGAAAAAAAAATTATTTTCAACACAATGACAATTTAATTAACTTTTATACCGATGAACAAAATGATAGAGCGTTTTTTCGCACAAAATAAAATCTATGAAACAATTTTGCTGTATTGCAATGTTATAATATTTCAGAACTCAGTTTTCAACTTACCACTGTACACGGTGCTGTAGACAAGACAAACCAAAATTCTGACACTTAATTTTTGTGAAATATTCACTAGGATGATGAAGAACAGCTTGGAAGCCGACGTTGTGTTTTGGTTAGATACGTAATTCGTCGCAATATAATATTCTGAATTGTTTATGTGTATGTTGAATCAGAGAAAAATACGTCACTTTAGTACGGCGCCGTACTAAATGAAACATATTTAGTTCATTGAACGTCAAAGCTACAGCTAGAGCTAAACTGAGTCATGGTGTATACAATGGAACGGAGACTTTTGACAGTTCGAATTTGTATAACCTCAACTGTTAGCGATCAAATTGTTTGTTAAATTTTTTTGGAAAGCATGGCAAATTTGATTCTATTCAAATAAATAAATAACGATGGCAAAGGTATTTGCCTTTAAAAATTGACTTGAATTTTGATTGCAATTGAACTAACCTACTCCTCAATTTAGTCATTTTCAGATGGCCGTCGTTCGAACGTTGTAAATATACTTTCCAGTTTGAAGGTGTACTCTCTACAATATTTCCCACACAATCTTCATCCAAACAATACCCTTTTTCTCAACGGTAAAGATGAACATGCGGCTGACGAAACAATCAATCCATCGCTTGGTGTTCAAGCAACTTACCCTCTTAAATTAGACTTAGCAACTGACATCAACTTAACGGTTGAGAACAATATTGTTCTGAAATTGGTGTATCAGAAGAATGATTACATTAACGATGTTGCCAAACTCACCGGAAATTACAAGAGATCGAGTAAGTGTTTGTAACTAAGAAAGAAAATCCAATCGAGTCAATGATTATTTCTCTTGATTCTCCAGAGGGAGGTGCAACGAAGAGGAACAAAGGCAATATATACTCAATGCATCTAAATAATTTGATGGAAATAACTGCAAAAGATCCAGATCCATACTTTTTTGGCTCATACAACTGGTATTATACGGGTGGCACACTGGAGACGGCATCGATATTCGACATCGATTTCTTATTTTATGTTTCCGGAGAAAAGCTAAATATTTTCAGTGAGTTTTGGTATTCGCCAGAAAGAAATTTTTTGATGAAAAAATTATTGTGTTTTTTTCACAGATTCAGCCAAGTTGGTTCCAACCAAAGATCAACTACAGTTGGAACATTTGGATAGTACAAACAATAAAATCTGTGATACAATATTTGAGATAACAAAATCAAATGATAGTTGCTATGTTGCTGCACGTCAAAAGAAACGTTTCACTCTGTTTTATTTACAAGATGAGTTGACGCAACAAGAGTTTCAATGTGAACGAAATATACCATTTATGAGCGGCACATTTACCGACAAATATTTCTTTACGATCAACGCAAATAGAATTATTCAGCAACATGATTTGGGCGAGAGGAGAGAATGTGGTCGGATGCACTTGAAATTACCGAAGAACAATAGCTTTTGGTGCCAACTAAAGAGTTACGACAATCAACTTCTCTTTGCCGATGAGAATAAAGTGAAAATCTATGACAGTCGTTTGTTTGCTAAAAAGGCGTCCAAATGCATGGAAATCTCAGTAGATAGTATTACGGAAAAATGTGAGGAAATCACATGTATTGAAACCGATGCGAGTGAACATAATGTTTACGTGTCTACAACGCACCATTTATTCGTGTTCGATGTGCGGTATGGGATGGAGAGTGGCAATCAATTGACACGGTACACACATCAGATGAAAACACCACCAATGATGATTGAATGCGCGGGTGGTGGAGCAACTGGGACTGCACCTAATGAGCGCTTAATAGCTCTATCCGGCACATTTACCGACGACATTGCAATTGCACAACATATTAAATCTCAGAATGACAAACTTCGGAACAATAATATTCCACAAAAAATTGTTTCCCTATCCGATGCATTGTACAAAAAATTACGAGAGAATGGACTTCGATCGGAGGCCGAAAATTTATTTAATGTTAACCGCTCGATTAATATCGGTACTCGTTTCATAAGAATTAATTCAAATTTGTTTTTACTCAGTGAGAAATCATCAGGTGAAATTTTTTACCAGCAAATTACACCCGACGAAGGTGATGAAACGCAAGAGATTGACGACAAGCTATTTTGTAATTTAGACCTGGACACTCGGAATGAAAACCATTCGACAGTTACCAGTGTGACTAATTTCGATAGCATCAAACGTATTTTAAACTTTAATTTACCAGACGAAACGGAAGTGCCCGACATGGAAAACCCAAAAGTGAAAAGATGGCAATTATCGATGGAACAACTCGCATCCTACAAAGATATGTTGTCAGCTGATTTACTGAATGTTTGGAATGAACAGCAATTATCTACAGGAGTGCGTAAAACTGACAAAACTGAGTTTGTTAACTGTTGGATTGATAGAACATCCACAGTCACTCAATGCGAAGATGATGTCGACGCGCCAAAAAATAGTTTTTCCATGTTTTAACAGAAATAATTAAAAAAAAAAACACATAAAAAATGAATTGATTTGCATTTATGTTTATTAGATATCTTAACTAGGTTCTTGATTTTCATTTATGTTTTGGTGGATACTAAAATAGCATTGGGATCATTCGATTTCACTTGTTTTTTATCATATGTTTTTACAGTGCTTTCGTTCAAAGCAAATTCACAATTGCCGACGAATTGGAACGGGATTCTCTTCGACGACAATTGTTTTCGTCATAACATCGTAGCCAGTACGATTGTTGCGAAAGAAGAGCAAAACAAAACACATCGGGAACATCAAAGTCATTAGCATATTTTTAGCAATGGCACGTAATAAAGCGCGTCGAAAGCCCGGATTCGAAGCCGGATACATTAGTGCACGTGTTGAGGCATTCAAATTGGTGGGCTCAGCATGAATTTGTCCGATGGGTACAACCGCTTCAACGTACAGAATCCGAATTCCCATTATTATCTTTCCCGGTGTGGCTGACTGCCCTTGAGCTGTCCACATCGCTTCGTAAATACATACCATAACTTTCGTTAGAATCTCCACCAATAGCAGATCTGACGAAAAGGATAAGAACTCCAAATAATCTTCTTCCAGTGATGATCGCAATGAATCAAAGTCCAAACTCACGCTACAGAGAAAAATATCAATAAATATACATGGTAATCCCATAACTGGGTTATAACTTACATTTGAATATTAAAGAGGTCAATCATCATGAAGACAATCATCAGTTTGATAATAAACAGAATTATAACCTGCAATTAGATTAAATTTGTTTAGCAAACTGTTATTTATATTGTTATATTCAACTTATTGTTACTCTTTCACTTACGTCGATCGCTTCGGCCAAGAATCTTTTCCAAATAGGCGCAATAACATATTCGTAGCCACCATTTTGATAAAGAATCTGCATATTTTGCCGAACATTATCCATATAATTGTTGCGATTTGGTTGGAAAAAATTGTTGCCAAAGAATTGCGGTCGTGGTTCAGCCTGATTATTTCCATTCGCGGCTTGTGGAAATAATTGTGGATTGAATGTGGGCGCTGCTGCTGAAAACGGTGGATACTGGGCCGGTAGAAATGGCATCGGAGGAATGAAAACATTATTGATATTTGGTTGTAGATTTGAGGACAAGTAGTACGGGAAATAGGTGTATGCCATTTGCTGGAGCTGCACTTTTTGCAACCATACTCTCAAGGCATCGAAATATTCTTCTTTGGTTTGAATCACAGCATCTGGATCTATTTTGTCAATTTTGATGTTCTTCTGTTCATTTCCACTTTCACTCTCGCTTTCATTTGTTTTTGTGTCGTCGGCTTTGCCATGCTTCAAGTCCTCTTGGTCAGTTTTCATTTTGTGGTTTTTTCGATGAATAAACTATTTCTTAAATCGTATTGAAATTGTGCCAAAGTGAGTTTACCAACGAATTCACGAATTTTCTGGTTTGTTCTTCTCTATTATTGCTGATTTCCGTGATTTCAATACCTTAACATTTGGCTTTAATTTTGTTTTTGCGAAATTGTCCAATTTAAATTTAAAATATGTTCTAGCTGAATGCCACTACGATTTGATTACTCTATAAAATTTTACTAGAAAATAGAAAACGGGTAACAATGTCCACGTAAATCAATACTTCAACAACATCATTTTTTTACTTCAAATAAGAAACAATAAATATCAATTGAAGGATGAAAAAAAATTGTTGACATTTCTAGTACGATGTGGTTTATGTATGATACGTTCTATCGTGTAAGTACATACTTGAATGTGTCTTAAGTACTTACCTGTTTGATAGGATTCCGTTGAAGTTGATTGTTTTCTTAAAACTGAACCTTGGAGCCATTCAAATTCACACAGAAAGTAGATTCGGTAAGTTATATTTTTTCAAATTCTTTCCATAAACTTCGAAGGTATAAATAATATATTTAACATAGAGTTTACCATATGGTAGTGGGATTCTATCAAACAAAATCATATAGATATACTGTGTTAGAATATCGCAATAACATGTGTGTTTAATTAATTGAATTTACTTTCTGTGTGTTAGAATTTATCGCATTCTTTAAGTGTTGAAAATCATGGCACATAAATAAAAAGGCTACTAATCATTCATTCACCCGTTGTTTATTCAAAAATCTTAAACTAGCATCGAAATATCATTTTGACAATTTTCATCAACCGAACATGGAATTATGAAGTGTTTCTAAATCTTGTTCTCTTTGTTTCGCCCGAGCCCGTTCTGCTCTTTGTCTTTCATAGTCTGGATCATCAGTTTTAAGCTCGTGACGGCACAATGGGCATGAGTTGGTCTTCTCAAGCCTGAAAAAAGTGAAAAAAACGGTTAACTACACTGTAAATTCAATAGGATTTTTATTTAATCCATTGGGATTTTCCAACTGGAAAATCCCAAAATATTAATATAAAATCCTCTTTCTTTTACAGTGTAAGAAGCTAGCATTATAAAAGTAAATACACTCACCATGGCAAAATACACTCGCTGTAAAAATAAGAATAAAAAACTGTTAGTTTTATGTAAATTTTTACGCAGATGACACATCTATCTAAATAAATTAAAAAAATATAATGGATGTATAACTTCGCCATTCAGTTAAATGATTTTAATTCATTCAAGGGTATGTTAATGAAGAAAAAAAAACCTGTGGAATGCGTGGCTGCGGCTGCAGGGCATAACTTTGAAAACCTTCTCATAAAATCCATCCTTGTCAGTTTGATTCAAACCGTCGTCTTTAACATCATCGTCTTCATCGTCGGGCTCGGCAGGATCCAGCTTTAAGCAAATCATACATTTTTCGGAATTTTTTTCCGGGCTTGATCGGTTTATTTTCACTTTGCGCTCTTCCAATCGTGCAACTTCTTCCTTAGATGCTGGCGGTGGAGCACCATCAAAGTGCGCTGGGATATAGCCATTTTCAATGAGAAAACGCACAACGAGCAAGTCCTGATGCTCTTGTGGATTCACATCGGGATCGACACCCCAACTAAAATCGTCTTCATAGTCCATTTCGGCCCGAATAATGCTCAATTGTGCACTAATTGTTTATCAAACTCTGAAATAATTTTGTTAATCAATAGTGATTTGACACTTTTCGTGCCCAGCTAACGTCATGTCGGAAACAGTAGCTAAAATTTCGTATAGATGGCATTGGAAAACTGCATTTAAGGTTCACTCCGTTTCAAATTTTAATTTTTTAGGACAAACAGCAGACAAACATATGTTTTATACTACAATTTATTCTCACAGAGGCCAATAAGTAATAATATCATATATGGATATTATTATAATACACCGGCGCATATAGCAATCATCACAATGATTGGTCAACGGTGTGCTCTACGTTGCATGTGATTCGATATAATTATCAAGATTGAGACTTTTTTCGAGCATTTTTCATGGGGTAGCCCAGTTTTTGATATTCTAGCCACAGTGTACGATTATTGACACCATGTATTTTGGCTGCTTTACAAAATCCCATTCCCTCATCTCGTACTGCTTGAAGAGCCCGCAAGAAATTTTCATTTTTCCGAATCATCTTTCGGCTTGTGCCGCTGATCCGTTGCTTTTTCGATGGGTTTTTCATCGCTTGGTCATCACCGCTCGCAGATTCAGTCGATGCATAGAAACTGTGTGGGTTAATTGATAAGAATAATTCATTTTCAGTCGATCTACTTACTTCATCGCGACTATCCAACTCGCTCTTCTCATCATCCACTTTTTTTATTTTTGTTATAGAGCAAATGTCAGTCAATGACCTTAGTTTTCTTTTCCCATTTCCACTGTTTTCCACTTGACACTCCTCTGAATTGGCGTCCAGATGTCCCCAAACGATTTCAGGTGTGTCCGAAAAAGTCACGCTTTTGCGTTTTTTCGTGGTTTTTGTTTGTTCGCTGGTGCTTGCAATGCTTTTAACAGTGATGTCCTTTTGCTTTACCCCAATACTGGTAGTTTGTGATGTCGAAGTATCCTCTTCAGTAGCGGTGTTTGGTAATATAGAATCGTCAATATCCTGATTTTCAACACTCGATCCAATTGATGTAACCTCATCTAAACCTTTAATCTTCAATGTATTGGCAACTCGTAATAGCTCGGCCAAATGATCTTGGCGAATATTCACTTCTCCATTATAGATGAAATAAATGAGGCTTTTTATGTGGTCATACTTAATCCCGGTCAAAACAATCACCTAAATCAATTGTATTATTACGTGTGTGTAAATATCTGAAACAAATTATGTATATATTTAAAATAATTACCGGGTGTTTACATGAGTTCCTCAAGAAGATGTTCTAGAATCGCAGAAAAAAGAGATTAGGGTGATTGGATACGAAATAGAGTTGCTCAAATACCTGAAAAAATGGGCTGCATGCTGACAAAACAATCTTATGTGCGTGAATTTCTTGATTTTCCGAAATTAATGTTACATCAACCATCTGGTCATTCTGGAGAAATGTCGAAAACACCGTTATCAAATTTGGATGATGATTGTTCCAACGTAAACAAAATTGCTCTACTGGCATTGCTTTTCGATAGTTTTGAACGATGAGCCGTAAATCGGACTGTTTTTACTTGTAGACAATTCCAAACTCAATGTGCCTCCTTAAAATGCAGTGAAGACGCCGAAGCCAGACACTAGATATGTCATTGAAAGATATATATGTATATCGAAATAGGAAAAAAAATTATTATTATGCATTGCTGTTGATATAAATGTTTAATTTACTGAAATTTTAATTATGTCGACGGTATTTTAGATGGCGACACTTGCCCATAAAGAGACTCCATCCGTCATGTCATGTCATGTCAATACTATCCATACATGTGCTTCGGTGTAGTTCAACTTTGTTTTTGTTTACAACACACAGCCAGCAATTCGGTTCTTTTATAATTGAATAATTCCATCAAAAAGTATAAAAATCTGCTGGAAATATGGATTGGGAAGAACAAGATCAAGTTAATGAAGACTTAAGCTCAAACAATGAAAAAAACAGCGAAAATGATGGGGATGACGGTGAAGAAACTAAGACCGAAAGAGTGAGTAAATATTCAAAGAGGCTTTCATAATTGAAATAAATTATTCAAAATTTAATTTGAAATAGAGTACGATTCGATCAGAGTTGAAGACCATGTCGTTTGCCGAATTGCTCAAGCTAAAAGAGGAACTTGGTTCAAAAGTATATAATGAAGCACTATTTGGTGAGGAATCAACACCGAAAAAGCGAAACAAAGCTGTGAAGCATCAAACCACATTCAAACGAGAGAATAAAAATCGGCCACGAGAAATTTCTGCAAAAAAGCAAGTGCCGCTGCTGGGAAAATCTAAGCCATCGAAAAAAGACCAGGGACCTCGTGATCCACGTTTCGACAGCCAATGTGGTGAATTTGACCGAACCAAATTCAAAGAAGATTATGGATTTGTTAATGAAATTCGCGAAAAAGAAATTTCCGAACTGAAAGAGCAACTAAAACATCTGAAGGATGATCAAGCGGACGAAAAGTCAAAAGTCAAATTATTGATACAACGAATGCAAAATCAGAATTTAGAAGAAAAGAAACTGAGGGAACGAAAACAAGCAAAAACTGAAGAGAGACAAAAGAATAAGGATGCCATAAAGAATGAGCGGAAACCATTTTTCATGTCAAAACGTATGTATATAATTAACTCCAACTTTGTTCACTTTGAACTTACCAAATGAATTGTAACATTATGTTTCTCCTTTTCATTCAATTTAGGCGAGCAAAAAGCGCAAGATTTGGTCAAACAGTTTGAAGAGCTTAAGAAATCGGGCAAACTGAATAAACATTTAGAAAAAAGACGCAAAAAGAATATGTCGCGAGATCGAAAAAAATACAATTTCGATTAAATATATTTAATATATAGGTATAGAAATAAAGATTCTTTTTTATTTCAATGAAGAATTTTGAGTCATTTCATAAAGCAAACCAGAGCAAAAGCAGTCTTCATGACATGAAATTCATTTCACAAGAACTGAATTGAAATGATTTTAAACCGCGCGATGTTCTATAAATTCTCCGCTTATTGACAGTGGCGCACTCAGCGTCATTTTTACGAATTTATCTGACATGATACACATATTCTAACGCATGTCATTTGATCGAATCGTGTTTCTCCTGTGTTCGGCAAGACGTTTATTTACAAATTTTTGAAGAAATTTAACTAAAAAAACAAAAGACGATGTCCATTCCTATAACTGGTTCGCTCAGCAGATCAGGCGGATTACTTTCAGCGATTAGTAAAAATGCGAAATTACTTAATTTAAAAGGGGTTAAACGAATTACCGTAACATTCGATCCATTCGGTGAAAATGTCAAACAAACGAGGTAATTGTTATATAGCATAAGTTGAAAAATTTGAATGAATTGGTTATACGTTCTATAAATAAAGTACGGCGCATGTCAATTAGCCAAAAATTGCCCTCTTTATTCCACAAGAGCAATATGGTATACGGAATCCACAAAAAGAGTCATTTTAGCTGTATTGTTTGGCATGGTTTGTAAATAAAAAGTTTAGGAAAAAAAAAACATTTCCTGCAACTATTCACAACAATGCATATTTCTTTTGGACAAAATTGTGAAGTGTGAAAAAAAAATCAATAAATAAATGGGCCGTCATTAGACAACTATACGAAGTTTAAAGACCTGATACTTCAAAGTGGTGCATTTGTTTCGTTTCAGGGAAGTCATATTTCAATTAAGCCTAGCTAAAGTCGTCAGAACGAATCCAAGGTGTATCGTTAGAACAAATGTGGTTTGCGATAGAAGTGATCCAAAGTTTATTGTCGACCTAATTCCAGAAGTGCACGGTAAGTTGTTTTTATTCTTTCACATGAATGTTGTTGTTTTTTCCATTTTCAAATTCACTTATCGTATTTGTTTTTTCTGCATGTACAGAAGCGGCCGGGTTTAACACAGTAAAATTTAACGCAAGGCATTTGTCGGCACTAGAAATACTGGAACTGTTCAATAAACACATTACAACATTGGCACCGAAGGAAGAAGAAGTTAAAATTCTTTCAACCAAATCAACCAAAAAGAAGAAGAAATAAACGGCTTTTGTCAAAAAATTAGAAACTGTTAAGTTTGATTGTCGACAGGCAATCGAAGTGTAGTTAAAGTTAAAACACAGATATTATGACTAAGCATTTGAAAAAGGGTGGTCACATGGATGTGATTGAACGGATATATAACGATCTTCCTGCATTCACGGACATATTTACCGAAGAAACGTTCTACATCTTCGCCATTTGCTTCGCATTGACAACTATATTGGTGGCATTCATTTCATCAAAGTTCATTACAATAAGACCTATCGATTGAATTTTATTTTTCTGAATGCCCATTTGCCTTTATTCGTTCATCACATTCAAATTGTTCTACTATCATTCAACACACTTTTCTATGCCTGTACTTCCCTTGTGTTTTCATACGTTCGGAATTACATAGAACGATATACAGAAGAATAAAATAATAAAAGCATTTTACATACACAAAAAAACTACATCAATTTGTTGTTTGATTCGATAAAATTAGTAAAATTGGGATTTTAATGATGAAAATTGGTGAATATTATCATGCATAGAGAAATGGCAAGTTCATGTTGTCAACAAAATAATAATCAGACTGCCTAAATATTCTCAAAAAATGTGCTCTTTGGGAATAGTCATACACAAAATAGATTCGATTGTTCGTAATGTTCATGTGCCGTATTTAGTTATTGGTCTGGGAATTAGTTTTGTCGATTTTTTTAAATTTTCAAACATTTATTTGAATACCAAAATGAAATTACATTTCAATCAAAATATTGTCCATCGGAAGCGATGACCTTCTGCCACAATGTGGGCAATTGACGGATGCCTGCCTTAAAAAATTCCTCATCTTTTGAGGCTATAAATGCATCGAGCCAATTTTGGATTTCTTCAACTGAAGAGAACCGCTCTCCGTCCATATGGTTTTGCATCAATCGAAACAAATGGTAGTCGGAAGGAGCCAGGTCTGGGCTATACGGGGCGTGAGCCAAAACTTCCCATCCGCTATTTTCCAAGTAGTTTTTGACCGATTTCTCAATGTGTGGCCGAGCATTGTCATGTAGGAAAATCAATGTCTCTTTTCTGGTCTCCCAATTCGTGCGTTTTTCTTTGATTGCTTGTTTCAAACGTAACAATTGTTGTCGGTAGAAAGGCCCATCGATGGTTTGACCACTTCTCAGCAGCTCATAATACACCACTCCCTCCTCATCCCACCAAATAGACAGCATTACCTTGTCGCCGTGAATTTCTTGTTTTGGCTGTGATGTTGCTGGTTGGCCGGGCTTAACATACGATGCTTTGCGCTTGGGGTTATCGTAATGAATCCATTTTTCGCCACCAGTGACAATTCGATACAGAAAACCTCTTTTTTTGTGCCTAGCGAGCAGCATTTCGCAAGTCACCAAACGCCTTTCAGCTTGAGTCGGCGTCAATTCATGTGGTACCCAATTTGACAACTTGCGAATGAAACCAAGGGCCCTTAAACGATACCCAACAGTGCTTCGGTCAACATTCAATGCTCTGGCAAGCTCATCTTGAGTTTGACTCGAATCTTCATCGAGCAATGCCTCCAATTCCGCATCTTCAAACTTTTTTGGCTGGCCGGGACGTTCCTTGTCTTCCGTGCTAAAATCACCACTTTTGAACCGTGAAAACCACCGTTCACATGTACGTTCCGATGGAGCATGCTCACCATAGGCTTCCACCAACATTCGATGCGCTTCAGCTGCAGTTTTCTTCAAATGAAAGCAAAAAATTAATGCTTGCGGGAAATGTTGCTTTTTCGGTACAAAATTTGACATATTTAAGGCGCAAAAAAAATGTTTATCCAAACTTCGATGAAATGATAGATGATGATTTTTGTAGTTTGACACTAGACCACTCATGTGAAAAAGAAAAAAGTATTGCCCGATACAACCATGCAAAGTTACGCCATCTTTTGAAAAATCGACACGATTAATTCCCAGACCCAATACATTCACACATTTCTTGAAACTTGACTGAAAATAGTAGGCAGTTTGCATGGAATAGGTAATTTCAAAACTAAGCTATAATTTTTTTCTCGATAATGCCCATTGAACGATTCTAACCAATAAATGTTTGTTCAGCTAACTCTGTGTTCATATAAGCTTTGACGTTTATCAATACTACCACTTGTCATAAGATACGGCGATCTGTCAAGCGAAATTTATTTGTATACGTATTTGTTTTGACTTTTATTTTTAGAAAAAACGAAACATTTTTTTATTTCCATTTATTGCACAAAAAATTAATTTTACCAAATTTAAAATTGTAAAAGAGGTTTGTGTCAAAGTAGTGTTGATCCTATTGTGATGCTAACGATCTACTTCAGAACGGAACAAAGAATCGAACGCCGAGCCTAGAATAAGTAAAATAATAAATCGAATATCAAAGTTTAAAAAAAAAACTTCAGCAAAAATAATCATGAGCTCATTAAAGCAGAGATATGAACGATTTGCTGATTTTATGCAGCATAACACCAAGGGTGTTGAGGTGTGTGAATGAATTACGCAAACAAGCGATAAAGGAAATGATTAGCATTGTAATATTATTTTTTTCTCTCGTTCGTTGATAATAGATTGGCATTTATTCCATCTCAGGAGCTTTGTTCGCGGTCTCTTATTACAAAATACGCCCGGTAAATTCTCATGAAATTATGCAATGGTTTTGAAATTGATGTGAAAATGACAAAAACAACAAAAATTTCTTTGACATAGATCACGAAATTTACTCGTTCAAAGGACATCCCGAAACACTTCATCACAAAGAAAATTTCCCAAAAAGGTAAAATCAAAGCCATCGAACCAAATCAACAAGCAGGTGCATTATTGCGCATCGATCACAAACCTCCATTGAATCTTTTTCATTTTTCGCAAAAGACACTTCCAGTTAAGGTATATATGCGATCGTACCGTTCATTTCTCACTAAGTGTTTTTTTTTAACTCAAATTTATTTACTGCGTAATTTCTTAGATATTTGGAGTGGATATCAACGGGAACGGTTATTCTTGGCTGCAGTCGGTCACCTTAAATCACAAGGTTAAATTTCTGCCAATTAGTAAGGGTAATGCCAATTTTGCAGAATGCCAAGTTTCACTTCTTCAAGATCCGGCTTTAAATGCAAAGGTTTTAATAATAATTCATTATTGTTGTCATATTCAATCATTATACAATATATGTATATGTAAATTGTTTGGTTTTTCATAATCAAAATTAGCCTTCAATTGACCTGGCTGAGTCGCTGATCAGTCTTGGATTTGCGAAAACCAACTCTCAGCTGGGTATCAGCTCAGCCGATGCACAGCTTAAGAGCTACTTAAAGAAATTGCAGGCCGCACAAGCTAAAGCATGCAACCGTGGACTACCCTGGCCAATAAATCTTCTTACATCCAATATTTCACGGTTGATCTACAAAAAACTATTTCCACCTAAATATCGTTTGCCCGAATTGGTTCGATAAATTGTATTGAATTATTTTATCTATTTTTTTTGTCACATAATGCGCATTTTTGTTTCATGGAATTTCACTATGCCTGATGAATAGCTAAAAGAAAGTTGTGAATAAAGAAAGAAGTTCAAATTTTTCGTATTGAAAAAAAGGATGACAATTTGTTTTATTGTGCACAATAACAAAGCGCTTTTCAATATTATATATTTTTTTTATTTTCTTCGTGATAAATTTATCATATCGAGAACAAATTTACAAGAAAATGTCGTCTGACAATTTCTTTTATAAAATTTCGGCAGTTTTTCGATTTATGAAATTAGATATGATAGTTCCAAATCAAATAAAAATTTAATTTCGGCCCTAAATAAACGGAATGGAACATTTTTTCATGACATTGAATGAAATTAATTTCGAAGTGGTTGAATAGATTAACAGTTTTATTAACAGAAAAAAAAAATCTTCAGTAAAACTAAAATGTGACAATTATCCATTCGACAGTGCAACGCTGTTAATTTAGATTAAATCTACCATGTTATAACTATACGAGATGCTCGAAGAATTTTCCATAGAATGAAAATGACAGCGATGCACTTTTGCATTATGCTCTTTATTCGAGCGAATGAAACAAATTTGAGTGATTATTTTAACAGATCCTGAGCTTAATTTGATTATTAGGTAATGTCTAAGATATTTTTTGCCATAAAGCGATTTTTTCATCGAGTATAATTTATGCTATCTTTTTGTATTTGTCGAGAGTGTTCAGTCCTTGTCACAAAAACAGTTATCGTTTTTTTTTTTTTTTTTCAAATAAATACAAGCACACAAACTTTTGTTAAACTTTTCGTTATGTCAATTTTTCTATCTGATTTAGTGTTACAAATTTCTTGCATAAAATTAGTACACTGACTCTAAAGTAATCTAAAAGTAATTGTTTGAATACCCAAAAAGAAATTGACACCAGTTTAGTGCTGGTATGCTGCATACTGTATGTAGTGTGGTGTGAGAGCAGCAAACCAGCACTAAACTGGTGTCAATTTCTTTTTGGGTACTAGGCTAAATTCTCAACGCCAGAAATAAGTGTGACATTTCCAAAACTCCGATTAAACTTAATTTTTCTTTTATTTCAACAATTCTTGTCTCGAAAACGTCACTCTCATTTTTGACCCTATAATTTTGTACTGATTCCCTTCCCCTCTCTTTCTTTCTCTCAAATAACACCATTACTCCTGTTTGCTTTTTCTCAATCCACTCACTGTTTAAAACTTAAAGAGCGCCAGTTTGCGGGGGTAAGTACATTTAAGTTAATAGCGTATTTACATATATTTCTTATAACTTTTTTGTGTTATGTGTTTCGTTTAAAAAATAAAGTTTGAATGTATTTGCAATGTGTGTATTGCAGTAGTTGACACTTGTTTTACGTTTATACGAGTATTTTCGATTAGTTCATGTTTCGAGTATAAGCATGACTTCGGCCATAATGAATTGTAAAAATATCAAAGTTTTGATATAAATATTTGTATACAAATGTTGACGAAAAAAAAATAATTCTAAACTCAAATGTATAATAAAAAACGGTAAAAATGCTGTAAAAATTCAAAAGAATCATTAGTTCCGTCCTGTAAAAGTGTTCAGCGCTTAATTTTGCCTCTTAACAAGGAATTCGTGTTGGCGTTTAGCTAGCTGGGTTGCGGTACCAACTGTGTTTGTTGTGCATGTCGGAAGTGGGTTTGATTTTGTGGAATATTTGTTTGGCCATTTTTAGCTTGTTGCATCTGGTGGAATCTCACTTGATTGTTGGCAATTTGTTGCAGTTGACTGTGTTGTTGCAGTTGCTGCTGACGCATGTCACCTTGAGTGGCGAATTCCTTTGCCTGCTCTTCGGCGGCTGCGGTTAGCACTTCAGTGTATTCACGAATCAAATTGGCAATTTGGAAAGCCTACGAATGTGTTAATAGAGATGAATGAATAACATTAAATAGAACAAAACAGAATAGAACGTCTGAAATTAACATACCTGTGCCGTGGTTATAATGACTTTGGATTGCTTCTTATCCGATCCGGTGATAATCATGAGACAATTCATATTTGGTGAATAGGAGAGAATCGATGTGTAGTCGTATGTACAGAGTGTATTTCGAGATCGATGTTCCAATAAATGGACGCCCTTTTGGTCAACAGCTAGCCACAATACTCGCGGCCAGTTCGATGTAAATGTTTGCATAACATCAAAAATAGTTGCCTTATGCATTGGCCAACTTTGGATTAAATTCAAAAATGATTTCTTCGCTTCGGCTGAGGTCATGCCGCGCAAAGATTGATGGTGCATCGCGACGGCTTGTTGGGGCAAGTTTGGTATATATCGTTGCGGCAAACAATGCGCAGCCACTGGTCGATAGTCATGAACAATTTCATTGGGAGCATTTGCGTTTGTGATAAAGTCACCTAATTCGAGCTGTGCTTGCAGTGCGGTCAACATGACTGCCTCCATTTCGGTAATTGGGAAGCGATCACTTCTCATTTGATGCAGCACTTGGTGATAAAGAAGCTCCTTCTCAACCGCATCGTCCAAGTTCATGTACTTATCGTAGAATAGATGTTTTTTGAACAGGAACAAGTGATGTTGTCGCCGACAAGCGGCTGGTAGATTCGTATTCGATCCATTTTGATTCTGTTGCACTGCTTGAGCGGCAGCGTTGCGATATTTTTCCCATTTTGACATTACATCGGCAATTTTCTCATCGGGCATTAGACTTCGTTCGGATGCGCCAAGCACTTCATAGATAGCGTATCCCAGAGCTCCTTCATTCAAACCAATCTTGTTTTTGATAATTTCCAACACCTCACGAGCAGTCGAGCTTGGATGGAATTCGACCGAATGATATTGACCATCCATGAAATGGAAACGTGCGTAGATTGGTCGGCGATTAATGGTGCAAACGATTTCTTCTCGGGACGGAGGCCACAGTCGACGACGTGTGCCCTGCGTTCTATATAGACATTTCTCGGCGAAGCGAGCATATTTGCCTTCTTCGGTGATAAAATCACTAGCGCATCTCTTGAGGTGAGCTATCAAGTATTTGCGAAGAACCTTCAATGGTGGCAAGATCACACTGCACGCCAGCGATAACAGTGCCCAATGTCGCAAATTCACTCGAGAGTTCGGATCTGGATGGTCGGTTGTTTGTTTAATCAACTGCAAATACAATTCGTTGAGGAGGCTTTCTTTGCGCATACTTCGTTCCATTATTGATTGAATAAGCGTAATATGTTCATCTTCGGCTCTTTGGATGGTTTCGCCACTCTGTCCAAGACCAGCGTAATTCAATATGGTTTGGAATATTTTCAACATGATTTCCTCTTCCGAATCGGGTATCTTTGTCAAGCTTTGCGGCAATAGTTGTCTACTGAATGCCCAGTAGGCATGAGGGAAGCCTTTATATGTTTCGCCATGGTCTTGAATTGTTGCCACACCATGTTCGGCTCTCAATTTTTCAATACGATGCTTGGACAATCGACGTAATGTATTTCTCAAGAAACCACCCGCATTTCCATCTTGTGGTTTACGCAACAGTTCGTTGGTATCAACCAAATGGCGTCGACAGACTACAACATTGTGATGGAATCGGACTCGATCTTCGTTTGTTACACCCTTGATTCGTTTTTGTGCCGGGCCATTAATGGCTTCATTGTCAGTGATCCATGAGGACAATGGCGGATAGTATGAAATTATCAAAGATCCGATCTCATTCTTTTGCGTAGTCTCGAAAACAAAACATCTTTGTTGATCGCCAGCTGGGTTTTGTGTTCGATTCAAAGTGATTGTAATGAATGAATCACTCGGATCCAACATGATTGATTCAACGGAATCGTAACGGAATTCATAAATGACAAATTTGTCGTCCGGTTTGATTAGCATAAGTCCCTCACAATTTACACCCAAAATAAGGCTATTTCCATAGCTCCAATAACCGCGATAAATGACTCCAAACATGGTTGTACCGTACAGTGGGTATTGCATGACGCATGACAAATAGAGCACTTTGGCCGTTAATTCTGATCTTCCAGCGCCGTATTGTCGATGTGCTTGTGCCAAGATTGGTACCCAGAATGCATCCTCACGTGTTCCCGATATTCTCTCCGGCAAGAAGCTGCTAACATCCGTGTAATACTCTGGTTTTGGTTGAGCAGATGGATCACCAAGAGCAACTTGTGCCTGCAATCCGGACAGCTGTAATGCCACTTTTTCGCTCACAGGGAAGTCATCACACTTAACGACACTGTAAACAGCCTGTGCATATAGCATATTCACTTCAATTGGATCTTGTGACAGCTCACGAGTGCTCTTGAACAATCGCTTCTTGAAGACAAACCGATTTTCACCAGATCCAACCTGATTACGGCGTATTGTGTTGCTGCCTCCGTTCATCGATGATGGCGTTGTGACCGCCGCTGGTTTCGTTTGCTTTAGTTCCCATGCCGCAATTATATCGTATAGATAATCATGACTTTTGACATGGTCTTCACCATCGGGACGAGATTGATAGATTGCCCAACCGTCCGTATTGCATAAACAGAGTTTTTCAGCTAATTTTTGGACAGCATCGGCAGCGCTATCAGTTGGATGAACGTCAATTGCTTTTGTTCTACCATCGAGGAAGAAGAATCTACATACGATTGTGCCAAGGCGTCGCATTGCCTGTAGAAATAAAAATTAAGCCATTTTATTAGTTATTGTATCGTTATTTTTAACGTAGAATTTTGTGATGTGTGAAGGACATGAGTTATTTCATTATATTTCTTATTAAGCGGTTGTAATTTAATCAAAGTTAGCAAAGTGTATTTCGTGCGATAAAATCTATTTAAGCACGGGCAAATCTTTTTTTTCTTCAAATGTCCATGTTCTTCAACCATATTTTTAATGGGGATCTAATAGGTAGGTTAATATGCTTTGGCAAATGTTTAGCAATAAAGTCAATGAATAGGGGAAAATGACTGAAATTTTATGACTTTCACTCAATGCATCCAATTATGTCAATGAAATCCAAGAAGATTTCATCTAACCACGAACGTATGCTGCTGCCTGTGTAAATCGTTCGCGACGTACCTTTTAAGTTCTTTTTTAGGTTTTAATATTAGATCAATGTAAAGAATGTTATGAATAATGAAAAATGAATTATGATTTATGGATTCAGATCGGAAAAGAGAGAAGGTAGTCAATTTCCTTACCGCTACTTCAACTGAACTTGGTGGATATTGACGCGGAGAAACCTTGGTGTATTTACAATTATCCAAACACCATTGAACGTATTGCCTCAGTTTACCTAAGAGGAGAATCAGAAAGAAGAAATGAAATTAATAGCAATATAACGAACTGAAAGTGGGCAATTAGTTTACCATCTAACATTTCGAGATTCTTCTTCAAGAAGCATGCATAATATCTGAAATGATGAAGAGAAATTGTGTTTAATCAATTTTAGTGCTCAGTGATCATTGCATGTTATTTCATTATTCTACCAACCTTATGAGTAATTTGCTTGGTTGAAAAGCAACAATAGACAAACACATAAGTAGCCAAATGCGATCAGTCCATTCTGGGTGTGGATTGTTGGTTGCCTGTCGCATACACTGCACGAATATCTCATCACGCAACTCTTCTCTCTCAATGCCTTGCCCAATAATGTACTGAATCACTTGTAATTCTCTTTCTGCATTTAATTCACCTCGAGCATATTTGCACAAATCCTATTTTTATCACAAGAAAAATAAACGGACACGTAATTAGTTGGATTGAAAGGAAGAAATGGTGACATTTCAAATGTACCTTGAAAATGTTGCATGCGATCGTAACATTCTCCGGATCATACATATGAATATGAGATGTTGGTATTGAGTTTCCGCGATAGTATGTAATCATTTCGTATTTTGGCACCAAGTCCACAGACTTTCGTCCTTTGCGTGTCAGAGTGGCGATGATCGTTCCTTCCGGGGTTCGTTCATGTGTATTGAAATTGTTTTCAGCAAACTCAAGGATATCAAAGTACACATCATCACGAGTTGCTTCACGCTCTCTTTCAACCACATCGGTTTGTTGCATTTCTTGTAATTTCTTTTCCACGCGAAACTTTCGTCTTTCGGTGCGTTCGGATGTGAATCCATAGTGATTCTGTTGTGCATTGTTTACATTCGCAGAGTTGAGAGTAGGCGGCGTGCGCGAGTTCAGACGATTATGTTTCGGAGATGATGGTTGCAATGGAAATCCCACTGTGTTATGCTGTTGTGGACTACCTGATCGAATGGCCTGATGAACGGATGGACTTTTTGGTCTGTGTAGAAAATTGAAATGAAGTGGGTAAGTTGACATTTTTTTGGTATCGTTTATTAATAACTATAATAATGATACAAACCTCAATTTTTGATTAGCTTCATAGGAATTCGTCATTGGTTCGGGCACCTCAACTACCGGTGGAAGTTCATGGCGTGGTATGACTGCTTCGTAAATTGGTTCCTCTTTTCGTGCGGTATTTTTGGCAATCTTTGCACTGGCTGGTTTTTGTGGCGGTTTATTCAATGGAATCACTTCAGTTGTTAGATCGGGCACATTTAGGCCCATTGGAGTGTTGTTACTAATACTGTTCGGTGCCATTTTGGGTAGGTTTGGCGGTGGCGGTGGTCTCGACGTCGGTTCTGGAAGTGACGGTACGCCCATTTTGGCACTTAACGAACACTTATTCGAATTAGTGCGTTCGTTTTCCATGATCTCCATTTCTTGTTGCAAAACATTCTCCAGTTCAACATCCAAATCATGAAACGCTTCCTCAATATCATCGATAATTGATGATGTGTTGTTGTTACCATTATTTTTACCGTTTTCATGCTCATTTCCATTATTACTACTGCAACTGCTGCTGTTGCTGTTGCTGTTGCTGTTGCTGTTGCTGTTATTACTGTTACTGTTATTTGGCGTTACTTCGCTTAAGAATGCAAACAGATTGTCCAAATCGACCGATTCGTTGCTTTGCTGATGGGCCACATTACTGTTGACATCCGCATTCAACTTGTGATTTATCTGATGTGCAATCTCGGACAATGCTTCAATCTCCTCTCGACAAATACTGTAATGAAAACGATACTCGATGAACGTTAAAGTACAGATAAATCCCGTGTATCATCTCCACTTGTATTGTTTTTTACATTGAAGGGCGTTGCACGCACCTTAACATTCACAATACAAACTCAATGCGAGTGGAGACGCCTTATGAAAAATGGCACAGATTGCTAGTGCTAAGGTTTATCTGTACTTTATCTACAATTTTGCTGGACACATTCAATTGATATGCAGAGGTGCAACAATATCGAGCATTTTCAAGGCGTGACATAAAATAGAGTTAGCGTACTTTGTGTGTTTCTACTTGTTTGTGTTATATGGATCAATAAAATGACAAGCTGACATTTAACTTATGAAATAAACTAATTGATGGAAGAACGAAGCATAAAATAAAACTTTAACAGAAGAAATTATACTTTTTCTCAAACAACATTTTCCATGTGCTTCACTCATTTTGACAGTTGTGCATGATGATTTAAGCATACAAACCATATCACTAAATAATACGTGTTAGATTATTGTAATCCGTGCGTTTTGGCAAAATTATTATTCACTGATTTCTAAACATTTCCATTGAAATGAAATTATGAACACAAAATAAAACTTACTCTTCATCCTTGCCAGAACTCCTAATATTTATTGGCATGCTTTGAATAAATCAATAATGAATTAAAATGAAAGATGAAACTGAATAAAAATGAAACTTTTGAAAAGAAAAATTCTTGTCGTTTGAGCTTAACGTTCGTTGTTCACCAATAAATAATGATTCCCGTTCATGTGAAATCAGACAATTGTTATTCAATTTGTGTTTCCATTTGTATTTACTATCATATTCGGTCATCTAATTAAATTTGTGTTGTGTTGTTCCAAAATACAAATTTTTTGTCCAACAAAAGATGTAAATTGACTTTAAAATGAATTAAAAATGAAAAATATATTGACTATCTGAACAAAGTGATTTAATATGAAAATTCTACGTGAAAAACCGAGCGCTACGATGTTTAATCTAAAAGCACGAGAAAAAAATTGCTCGAATCACCAGAGAAAAAAAAAACCAGGAGAAAAGCCTTTCTATACTATAAAACGAATGTTACTTCACTATTAGACTGGTCTGTGAATGAAAAAAAAAGGAGTCTGCACGCATCCGTACTATAACTACGTACCGTTCACATTCTTCAATAGCTTTGCGTTCGTCTTCTGCTTGCTTCTCGCTGATTTGTTTCTCTCGTTCTTTTCGTTCGGCTTCGAGACGTTCGCGTTTGCGCATTTCTTCTTCGACTCGCCGCATCTCCCGAAGTGCAGCAGCCACCTCACGTGCAAATAATCCACGGAGATGACTTTGGATGACAATACAAGCCCGACGTTTGCGTAGAAAATCGATTCGGGATTGCCATCCTTTGTAAGCGTGTTGGATTTTAAGGACAGCATTTCGAATTCTATTATATTTCTTCTGTTGGTTGTATCGTCGCCACTCCTTCTGGATTATAATTGCGGTTCCGTTTATCACTTCTTTACGTGCGTCCTGATTTTAATTTTATGCCCAATTAGTATCTCATTTTCTTTGGGTTATCATTGTTATTTTGACATTTTTAAACTGAAACTCACCTCTAGCGGCTCATGAACCACGCTGCGTAAAAATACTTTGGTTTTGCCCACTTGCCACTCAGTCTGTGGAATGTTCAACTCAGCGATAACCGATATCACTTGTTCGCGATTCGATTTTATACCGTGTCGTTTTGTCAAACATTGATATCTATGAAAAGCGCACGGAATGCATTAGTCATTGAAATGAAGAATTTATTATTTTTACTCACTTGTTGACGAATTCATCAAACGTCATGTGAATGGGAAAGCCCTCCCGTCTGATTCGTATAATATCGAGCATACCAAGATAACGAAGTTGGTCCAAAACTAGAGCGTCGTCGTAATCGTTTGGCAGTTTTTCAGCATTTGGTTTAATACATCTCACATACCTATTATTCGAATTGATTTTTGTTAGTAACTGACATTTGAACAGATTTTACTAGGCAGGTACGGTACACTCACCATGGGTTTGTGCTTTGAAGTACATCCACAAGTGATTGAAGCTGTTGTCGAAATGTATCCGAAACCGTAAGTTTTCCTTTTGATGTTCCTCGTTGAATTGTGGTTGCAATAGCGCCGTTGTTCACTTGATTTTGATGCTGAATCGTAAGTAGATCCGAATAGGAGGCCAATTCTTGAACAAATGGATTACCACTTCGACTCATGAAATCAAACAAAACATCTTGCTGAACATCTCGATTCTTGTCAACAAATCCATCGACCGCATAGCTCACACAACCAGCATAATGTCTGATGCCGAACTCAGTTTCCCAATGTCGACGATCGGCACCCTTAATATAGCAACTGTTTGATTCGAATTCAGCATGTAAATTTGTTAAATAGGCTGTGTCTGATCCTTTCGGCATGTGACATTGTTCCGTTAAAAGTTTCAAAATGCAACGGGGCGGCTTTTCAATCAATTCCAAGCACTGTGTATTATCAGTGAATTGAATATGCGAAAACGTAATCTCTTCTTGTTTGTACTGTAAATAATAAAGCGATTCGAGTCATTCGAGTGGCAAATGAAAGCGGATGAAAAAAGGGGAAAAAATGAATTAAAATGGAATAAACAAATAACTCGTGTAAAGAAGTTGTGTTGGAGGACTTACAATTTCTTGTTCTAATGCAAAAACGTAATGATTGAAGAATTTGTGCAGTTTTTCATTTGTATAGTTGATACACAACTGTTCAAAGCTGTTTGACGCAAAATTCTCAAAACCGAAAATATCTAAAACACCTAAAAATTTGGTCGCGTCATTTCCCGGATTTATGCATGTATTTATATGGTTTATTAACCATGCAAACGTGCGTGAGTATAGCGCTTTGGCCATCTACATTAGCAAAAGAATTCCAAAAATATTTTCAATAATTAAAAATAACATGGATAAAAAATAGCGCAGAGTGCTTTGAATGAGAAAAAAAACGATATTTACCGCATTCCGATTTTCTCGTGCTTCCTGTACTTTTAGCGGAATTTCAGTGATGTTGCCTCGAACGTTAATCTGTCGCTTGAGTGCGACCTGAATCAGTTCATTTTCTTGAATTCCCATCACTTCGGCTACAATTTTAATAATCTCGTTATCTGCTTCGGTGAGTTCACATCGTTCTCCATCTACGTCAGCAAAATCTAAATTTCCCAACCAAAGAATGGCACTCAAGACTTTTAAGATGCCATTTATGATGGCTTCTGGTATTTGAAGTACAGTAAATGCTAAGCGTAACGCCTCGAACCGCTTGGCTTCCGATTGAATTTCGGCTTCACCGTAGGTGGCGCCGTTGTGCGTGTTTGGGCCACCATTCAAATACCGATAGAATGATGGATCTCGGAGATGGAGAATTTTGGCTAAATCGTCGTTTCGTTTACCTTCAGCCACCAGTTGATAAAGTACATGGTAATTCCGTTCGCCAGTACTTTGGAACGTAATTCGAGATTGTTCTAATAAATAATCCTGTATAATACAACCTTTAATACACCATTTAGTGTCGAAACAGACTTGCATAAATTTGCCGAAACGTGAGCTATTGTCATTTCGTATGGTTTTCGCATTACCTAGACAAAATAGTTACAAAATATGGAACGGTTAATTTTTTTTACTGAATATGAACGCGTGAGAATAAAAGACTGACGCTACCAGGTTTTTCGCAAAAGCGGGGTAAAAATCAGTTACACGCAAAAGGGACATTTCAAAAGGTTGCACGCAAGAGAGAAGTATATTGTTGTTGTAATCACGGCTTTAAAATTCAAAATGCGACAAAATAAAATGTTCCGTTTGCGTGTAACCTTTTGAAATGTCTCTTTTGCGTGCAATTGATTGTTATCCCGCTTTTGCGAAAAACCTGCTAGCGTCAGGCTTTTATTCTCACGCGTTCATATGTACTACATTAAAGTATTCGAAGATGCAATACACTTACCGAATGCCTCTAAAATTGTGTTTGCTTCGAGGATTTGTTGTTGCACCCACGTGGATACATCACATGTCACCGAGCACAAATATTGCAGCACAAATTTGGTCGTTTCAGTTTTTCCAGCTCCTGATTCACCCGATATAACGCACGATTGGTTCCGGTCGCTGTCAAGCATATTTCCATACGCAGCTTCTGCCAGCGCAAACACATGCGGTTCCAGCATTCCAATTTTTTGACCATGATATTTTAATACATAGTCCTATTTGCCATGCAAAATGAAATCATTAGTCATCACTCTTTCAGAATGCATTTCAAGCGGCATTCGCCAGCCACCAAATGCCACAGAACATTTCTTTGTTCTTATTTCAATCAATTTGTGGTGTGAATGCATTTTCTATCCCTTTTTTATGGTGTTTTTCTTCAAACTTACCGTTGTGTAACAATCTATTTCTTTGTATGGATTCACAGCGATTAAGATACTGCCGGTGTATGTCTGTTTTGCATTTATTTTTTCGCATTAAGGAAAATCGGTATATTTGTGTGTGTGTGTGCTTATTTTAAAACTAAGCGGTAACGGAATTCTTATTTTCGGTGCAACAACTGCAAACAAAACAAAATAAAAGAATCGCGTTTGACTTCCTCTCTATTTAAAATACAACCAGTCGGTTTAGGCTTTGCGAATGATTTACTAAAAGTCACATCAGCCAAAACGTCGATTTTTTGCTCGAATCTTATTTAAAATACACAGAGATGAGTTGAAGAATTGCCCTGAGAGAAAATGATTTTTTTGACTTTCAGCGGCTTATATCACCCCGCTAATAATAATTGACATGAAATCTTAGGTCCAACAATGGAAGTGGGGCAAAAATGAATGGGTGTTTATTCTACCGTTTGCTCTCCAGTGGAATCAACTGAAAAAAAGGACTAAATCGCGTGTAATCACCATACGTCAGTGATCATTCGTTTATGCTTCGTATTTTTCGTTGACATGCAACACTGACTTTTATTGACGGCATATTTTCCACTTGAAAAGATTTGTGTGGTGCCAAGATGTATAAATACAATTACATGCCACAATTTGTTACCCATTAACCTGTTCAAACACATGTGAACATGCACAAATGGGTACACAGTACGCACCGGCTATATTAATTATTACCGCCATTGGTATTATCGCATCAGCACGCACAAAGTGTGTACGTATATATTACTCGAGAGTGGAAGTGATACGACATCATTTATTGCTCGCTGATGTGATTCCGATTCGGCTTTGGCTTTGACTTTCAGCTCCCTTGTTCGTTTTGGCAATCCCGTTACGTTGCATGTCTGCAGTACGCTTTGCAAAAATAATAATTGATTTTAGCTTTATTTTTTGAAAAGGATACGTATATTTGATCTCGATCGTAGCGGACTTTTAAATTGTTATTTATGCCATTCTCATCGATATCCGATATTGAAGTCATATCTGGTACACCTAAATCTGGTGTGGACCCGAGACGACCTGAAATGGAAAAAAATTACATAATCAAAAATTTAGAAAATTAAAATACTCTGAATACACTGTGCTTTCTATGGTAGGACTCGCGTGTCAGTTTTTGTAAATTTATGCGAATCAGTACTGACTTGCGATGACAATGAGCCCCTCGATTGTAACATCGCAGTAGGGTATCAATGAGACTTTTAACTCAATTGGATTCTAATTCAAACCACGTGGTGCTGTTATCATATTGAATTGGAATCCAATGAGAATGCGTTTGTTAATTCCAATTCAACGCGTCAATTCCAATTCAACTCAATGGGATTCAATGAGAATGCTACACCACGTGGCCCACAACAAGTTCAAGTCAATTTCAAAAGTTAGAAGTCTCATTGATACTCATCACTTGACTTTTATTCAAGTTTTTCGTTTTTTATTCAAGGAAAAATTGAAATAAATTGTTCAGTAGCAGTCAAAGAATTGCCGGACTTTTGAAAAATGAAACTGCTGTCCAATAATTCTTCAATAAAATAAAATTCTTGATGAATAAAATTCAAATTTTCCACTGGAGGTAATTTACATTCTACAATGAAAATATTAAATGGAATATTTTTAAAATAAAATCAATGGAACATTTTTAGCCATCAAACATCTGTCGCAGAATTGTTAAAATTAGGAACTGGAAACAATTCGACCAATACAGTATTCAGGCATTCAGACAACATCAGAAAATAATATGCTCATTGCTCACACCACTCTGGCGATAGTTCAGTCGAATGATAGATCTCCATCATTATCCCTTCCATACCACTATTCGTGTTCGCATTGAAGTAGAAACAGTGACAACACAAACAACATCATCAATAAAACAATATAAGAAGAACGATAAGTCAGCAAACTGCCTCGAATTTGCCATTTTCCTATGTTTTTCATTTAAATATAGTGAAATAATAAATGACACAGTGGCTTTTGTCATTGTTCGCTGCTATGGTTATAATTTTCTGATGTATTAGTGTTGCATCGAAAAAGAAAAAAAAATGAATAGGGCAAGAGGACAATGAACTTGTGCTCATCATACCATTTGGTATTAGAAGCGGCGCACGATACACAAAACAAATGGAAAAAAAAGCAAAACGCATAAAATTCGTATTATTATTATTGTTATTATATACTTTGGAACATGTGAAGCCGAGCGCTGTGCCGCACTCGCAATGTCTATTCTATTGCTATTTTTTTCTCTTACGCTTCCTAAATACAAGCTCTTAAACCATGGGTAGACACATGATCACAAAAATCAGAATGCTCTTTCCGCCTTCGATGACTAGTATTCGATATTCAAACGAACTTATGAGGATCAACTAGGTATAACGCCGAACTCGAAAGCCAGAAAAACAATGTTCGAGCGAAATGCTTGTTTAATACATATTACGCGACTATATGACATAAACAACAGCGACATAAATCCCATTTTTCTATCGGCTTTTGTATTTATTGCCATATCTTTGGTTAGACACACAAATCGGAGCACGTTTTTCTTTTCTTCTTTCATTCGACTTAACCTCAGGTTTTTTTTTTTTTTGAATCCCTTTTTTTTTCTTTTTCTTGCTCTCATTCGCTATAACGAATATGGGTTTTGTGTGTGAGCGTACGGAAATCGTTACGAGGCCTTCGTGTGCGCATTATTCAATCAACCACATTTTCGTTGATTTTGAATTGTCAGTGAAAAGCAATGCCGAAATCAAATTTATTGTCAATGTACCGCTTTTGAAGTGATATTTAATGCAACATCAACTTTCTTCTATCGCAATGAAGTCGAAGGGAAACAAAATACACACGCACAACTCGTCCAAAACATAGCCGGATTTTGTCATAACATTTATTTACTTATAAATAGATTCCATAGAGTGCAACGATCAGAAGAAATGTGTAGTGTGTCAACGAATCCATTTAAATTTTGCTACTGTGTGTCCAATGAACTCAGCTGAAAAGCGTGGATATTTTTTAAGTGCATTCAATTTTAAAGAAAGCAAACGTGCATTCGTTTATGCGTTACTTCACCAAGCTACAGCGGTTAGAGCACAGAGAAATATTTGTTTATTTTTCCTTTTGATTGAAATTTATGAAAAGAATTTTAGGAAAAGAACGCACACTTCCTGACTGAGGCATTTTTTTGATAAGATGTATTTCTTGGGTTTTGATTTTCGTCTGTATGTGTGTATGGCTTATATTTTTTTTTAGTTCCTTTTGTGCTGCCGATGCGCCATACGTGTCCAAGTTATTATGCAAAAGTAGCGGAATACAGCTGAACAGAAGCAGGTGCTTATCTCGCACACAAACAACCGTCCAAAGCATCAAATAAAATTGAAAGTGTATCATAAAGAGAGGACCGGAATCACAAAATGTAATGTATACAATCCTATGCTTTGACGTTTGTCACAATATAAGCGCCACCAAGTCTATGGAAAATGAACTATGGAATACTATATGGAATGATGATGTTGAACGTTTGAACGTTTTCCGAGCATTCAAATTGAATACATTGGACTTATACGAACAAAAGAATCATGGCACAGATGGCGCTTTATTTTATGCATTCCATACACATTGTGATTCCGAGAGGACAGTGGGCCAGAAACTGATTTCTTTTTCTCTGTAGTTCGTTCGACCAAACATAAAATAACAGAATGAACCAATGCAGATGTTTTGGTGTTTTTTTTTTTTTGCGAATGTGCCCATCTTCTTAAACACTTTGAGTCCTTTTAATTGTTTTACGATTTGCAGTTGATCGTCGGAGCAGATGCTTAATGCATGGGAATCATTGAATGCCCATGCCCATGCTTTATTTTTGGTCTGAGATCCAAGTCGATTCTTCAAATGAAATTAATACAGCTGCTAAAATATTTCATGGTTTACACGATTTAATGATCCATATACGATAGCTGAGATTGCATTGGATATGAAATTTGTGGTTATTCATCTATTAAAAATATTCATACACAACATTCGTATTAATCATATATTCACCGACTCGATCGTACTACTACTTTTGGGCCGCATCAGACCGATGAATTGGACGAACCAAGTAGAAATAGTTATAATTGAATGGGTGAGATTGAAAACAAGACATATTTCCACAGTATATTCAAATGAAACACTAAAAGAAAGATTTTTTTAAAGTGTAACATCGGCAGAGAATTTTTCGAAGTGAAACACCGCGTGTTTCATTTCAATAAAATGTGTTTTCCATGATTCACTTTGAAAAACGTTTGCGCTGGTGTTTCGTTTGTAAATACTTGTTGGATGATGTTTAGGTTCTAGGAATGCATGATAATTTTATTGATAAGGAATGCGAATTTCGATGTGGTGATAACACCCATGGATTGGGCACATGAAATACTGTTCCAGAATCGAAAAAAAAAAATTTGAAACTTTTTTTTCGATTTTTGCCCGTTTCGGATCGTCTACATGGGAAGTTTGTATGAAAACATTACATTGGTTTATATGGTAAAATCTAGACATGGCCAAAACTCGGATTTCCGAGCGGAATTCGGCAAAAATAATGTGTCCATCGCTCCCAAACCCTTATGTATACAAACTGATGGCTTCCCATTGAGCCATCATCAACCAGCTTGGAAGTTCCTATTCCCTCGGACGTCGAAAACTCATGCTATTTCGCTCACACTTACGTGCAATTTTTACCCGTATTGTTATACACATCAACAAAGCGGTCTGCTTCACCGTAGAAAAGAAGTGCGCAGTAAGGAAACAAGAACGTACATGTTTTAGCAACGTGGCTTCACTAGTGATTATGAATGAACGTAATTTTTCGTTACATTTCTCATTACGTTCATTCATAATCGCTATAATGCAACGTTGCCGAAACCTGAACGTTCTTGTTCGTTACTGCGCACTTCTTTTTTACGGTGAAGCAGACTGCTTTGTTGATGTGTATAACAATACGGGTAAAACACCGGCGCTCCGAGGTTTTCATACAAACTTCCATGTAGACGATCCGAAACAGACAAAAATCGAAAAAAATGTTAAATTTTTTTTTTCGATTCTGGAACAGTATTTCATGTGCCCAATCCATTGGTGTTATCACCACATCGACATTCCTTATCAATAAAATTATCATGCATTCCTAGAACCTAAACATCATCCAACAAGTATTTACAAACGAAACACCAGCGCAAACGTTTTTCAAAGTGAATTATGGAAAACAAATTTTATTGAAATGTAACACGCGGTGTTTCACTTCGAAAAATTCTCTGCCGATGTTACACTTTAAAAAAAATCATTCGTTTTTGTATCATAACGATATATTGTCAGAATATGTCTTGTTTTCAATCTCACTCATTCAATTAATGAACATTTTCAAATTGCTTTGACTCGCGTTCATCGTTTGGACCGTTGGACTAGATATTCGATCGTTCGGTGGTGTCGTGCGGGATGCGGGTGCATGTAAGCACAGATCCTGATTGCATTTCACAAACTCATTTGATGCACTTACATAGATTTGATTCAAGTGTTGGATTCCATGCACAAAATAGAATGATGTAGTCAATATTTTAATCAATCATTCGATTTTGATTTTATATCTAGCATATCATTCGAGTAAATCTACCGTACCACATTTACAGATGAATGCGCCACTTTTTGCGTGTGCCGAACATTTTCTCAAAGTAAAAACCTATCGAATATAAAGAAGAAGAAAAAACTTCTTTTTTTTTTCTTCTCGAAGCGAACCAAAACGCGTGAGTGCATCCAATTTTTGTTTCGATTTCCATTTTGTGAGATGAATTGGTTTAACTTCGTAAAAAAAGTAAAATAAAAGCGAAAATATGCAACAAAATCTCTTTTGCACTGAATGTGTCTGTAAATGATTCAGAAGGCAACATTCGATTTTACAAGCGTGTGCTCCGCATTCCACTAACATGTTTTCATCACTTATTGTTGGTCTTGGTCGAACCGTGTCGAAAATTTTAACGCATTTTCTTGGCTATATGTTCCGTCTTAATGGCTAT